TGTTCCAGCTATTTTAGGTTTACCTACATTGCAAAAATTAAAGCTGATACAAAGGATTTGTACAGTAAATTCTGATTCCAATGAAAAGTTACCAGAATCTTAAAAGGATATCAAGATTTGTTTAAAGGAACTGGGAATTTAACTGGATATACATATCATATTAAATTAAAACCAGGAGCTGTTGGTAAAATAGAACCCTGTAGGAAAATTCCACTTAGCTTATTAAATCCATTAAAAAAGGAATTAGCAAGAATAGAAAAAGATGGTATTATAAAGAAAGTTAACCAACCAACAGAATTCGTGAATTCATTAGTGGTAGTAAGGAAAAAGGATGGAGATTTAAGAGTGTGTTCAGATCCTCAGCACCTTAACCAAAATATACTGAGAGAACATTATCACATACCAAACTTTGAAGAAATTTCATCTCAAATGACAAATGCAAAGGTCTTTAGTATTTTAGATGCAAACAAAGCATTTTGGCAAATTAAACTGTCAGATTCAAGTTGTGAATTTACTACACTTAACACTCCGTTTGGTAGATATTGTTTTTTGAGGTTGCCATATGGACTGAGTTCATCACCAGAAGTTTTCCACAGAAGTTTTTCTGAAATTTTTAGTGATTTAGAAGGAGTTCAAATATATATAGATGACTTATTAGTTTGGGGTAAAGATAAAAAAGAACATGATTCAAGATTAAAGAAGTTGTGGACAGAGCCAGAGAAAAGAATGTTAAATTTAATTTAAATAAATGTAAATTTGGGCTGAATGAAGTGAAATATATGGGACATATATTTTCTAAAGATGGTTTAAAACCAGATGAAGACAAAATTAAGGCTATTCTAGATATAAAACCACCAAAAAATGTAAAGAAATTAGAAACTTTCCTAGGAATGATTACATATGTTTCTAGATTTATACCTAATGTATCAGAATTGACATCATGTGTAAGAGATTTGTTGAAAAAACAAGTTATCTGGACCTGGAATGCAACACATGAAAAAGCATTTAGAAGACTAAAAGATGTCTTAGTAAATAAACCAGTTTTACAGTATTATGATATAAAGATGCCAGTAGTTTTATCTGTAGATGCATCTCAAGAAGGACTAGGAGCAGTCTTCAGAATAATTTACCAGTAGCATATGCATCTAAGGCATTAACACAGAAGAATTATGCTCAAATTGGAAAGGAAACTTTAGCTATTGTATTTGCGTGTGAGAAATTTCACCAGTATATATTTGGAAAAAATATTACTGTGGAAAGTGATCATAAACCACTGGAATCCATTTTCGAAAGCCATTAAATAAATGCCCTGTAAGACTACAAAGAATGCATATAAGATTACAGCCATATCAGTTTGAGATAAAATATAAACCAGGAAAAGAACTTTTTATAGCGGATGCATTATCAAGATCATTCACTGATGAAGGATCTGATTTCTTTGAAGGAGATATAAAAGCTCATGTGGGACTGGTTGTAAAATGTATACCAATGTCTAATGGTAAAATGGAAGTTTTTCAACTAAAAACAGAAAAAGATGAAGAACTACAAGTTTTAAGAAAATTAATTAAAACTGGATGGCCAGATGAAAAATGTATGGTTCCAGAAATGGCAAAACCATATTTTAACTTCAGAGAAGAACTATCAGAAGCAAATGGATTAAGATTTAAAAATTCCTGTGTTGTTGTACCAAGAAGTTTACGAAAAGATATGTTAAACAGAATTCATTATGGTTATTTAGGAGTAGTAAAATGCAAGATCAAAGCAAGAGAAATATTATATTGGCCAGGAATGTCGAAAGAAATTGAAGATTTGGTACTGAATTGTCAAACATGTTTAAGTTTACAAAAAGCTAATACTAAAGAACCATTGATATCTAAAGAAATACCTAATGGTCCATGGGAAGTATTGGGAACAGATCTCTTTTACTTTCAAGGAAGGGATTATATAATAGTAATAGATTATTTTAGTAAATATGTTGAAATTGGACATTTGGAAGATTTGTCAAGTGTAGCAGTGATAAAGCAATTGAAATCAATTTTTGCAAGACATGGTATTCCGAAAATAGTATATTCGGATAATGCTCCACAATATAATTGTAGAAAATTTAAAGATTTTGCACGAAGATGGAATTTTGAAACCAGAACTTCAAGTCCAAATTATCCACAGTCTAATGGAATGGTTGAAAGACATATTCAAACTGTCAAGCGAATGTTAGAAAAAGCTGTAGTTGACAAGAAGGATCCATATTTAGTATTACTGGAATATTGTAACTCCTATTTCAGATGAAGTTAAGTCACCTTCAGAATTGATGTTTGGAGGAAAAGTAAATGGATTGATGCCTATAAAAGAGAATTTCGTCCAAGCTAAACGATATGAAGACCATAAACAACATTTACTGAAGAGACAAACCTTACACAAAAGTTATTATGATAGGAATGCAAGACTGTTAAAACCACTGAAAGCAGGAGATCATGTTTACATAAAAGAGAAAGGGAAAAAACTAAATGAAAGAGGGAAAATTATAGAAGAAGCAGAAAGACCACGTTCATATAGGATTATAAGAACAGAGGGAAGAATTGTAGAAAGGAACAGAAGAGACCTTCTTAAAGGAACTAATCAGGAAGAGTTTGCAATACAAAACAACTATGAGAATGAAGTTATAGATGAACCCGAGATACATGAAAATAGTAGGAGCACTACAAATTTAGATGTGCCTGCAAGTCCTTCAAAATCTAACAGAAGTGTTGTGTCACCAAATAGTGAAAGAGGTATAGTATCATCAAATTTTTCAAATGGACATAACTATGTCACTCGATCTGGTAGGACTGTTAAGAAATCTTATTATTTAAAAGAATATGTTTAATTTTACTGCTATTATTATTTTTTATAAAAAAAAGGGAGATGTTATATATGTAACTGTATCTATTATCTTTAATCATAACTGTAATATAGAATAGTGGATGAGTAATGTAGAATAAACGATGTTTGTGTACATCTTGTAATCATCACTGAGCACGTACCCAACACATATAAAATACAACACAGTCACTGTATTTTTTTCTTGCATTTAGAGGGGAAAAAGATTGAGGATTATAGAATCACATTTGTGACTGCATTCTAGTTCATTTACAGTTGGCCGAGAAAATATTCATCTGCTCAATGACCGATAATAGACTAGAGCATCAACCTGTAGGAAGTTTGTATTCATAATGTTATAAGAGCTTGTAAAGTTGACTTAACAAAATAGTAGAAATCGACAAAAGTATTTTCTCAAAGCACAGAAAGGAAGCAGATTGAATACTTCCCGAGCAGTGGCTTATTGCCAAATAGTTCTGAATGATTAATGAATGTTTTATTTTAAGAATTGCAGGTAGAAGTGCAGCTCAGAATTCCACAGGAACAACTGATGTAACTTTGGTGGAATCTCCACCAGCTTTCATGGTTGATAGGATAATAGTTCAACTTGAAGCAATCATACTTTGTCATGCTTTTCAGCAATCAATAATTTCACTCTTTTAATTATACATCTAGCAGTTTTAAACAATTTAAAACTGTGCACCATTTCAGCAGCTAGATAGGGGATTGCCACTGACCGCGGTATGTTATCCAAGTATCGTTGAGCCGTCATAGTGCCCTGAATACGAATTAGAGGTGACTTGGAATCATAGGCAATGGCACCTCAAACCATTATACCACGTTGTCGCACAGTGGGGTGTTCCACAGTTACTGCCGGATTATATCTGTCTCCACGTCGACGCCACACACGTATGCGGCGACTGTCACTGGATAAACGGAAGCGTGACTCGTCTGAGAACATGACGTTTCGCCATTCTGTCTTCCACATTGCTCCAGTCCGGCACCATTCTAAACATTGGCGTCTATGTTGTGAAGGTCGATAGCAGTCTTCTTAACGAACGAGGTGAGTGCAGGCCATATTCAACCAATTGATGGGAAATGGTTTTGGTCGACACAGGAACATCCAGAGTATCTTGCACATGCTGCAGAATCGCGATACAAGTGACTTGCGTGACTGCCACAGCTTGTCGGTGGATGCATCGATCCACGCATGCTGACATCACTCTGGCTGCAACTGCACCCCTCCTTCTTCTCACATTTCCTTTTTCCAACTATGTTTGCCATAGCTGATGCACTGTGCTTACATCCATGTGGGTATCAGCTGCAATTTGATATAAGGACCAACCTGCCCTTCTCAGTCTGATCACCATACCCCTCGTAAAATCGTCTATCTGCTGGAAGTGCCTTCGTTGACGGCGGCCTCGCATTCTCTCCTATTACACGTATCCTCCGGGACAAAAACCAACTTTCTTCGATATTTCGTCTGGCAGGAAAAACGACATGAATATTGCCCATTCTGCACGTTCCTTCCCTCATATCTTACTTCACGTGCGTCGGAGAGCTGCGCATTTCACATCATTCACATAACTCAGTGACGTGCGCCTACTCTAAAATTTGCATAAATTTCTGACCACTTCTTATTGGTGTTGCATTTTCAATGTCGAGCAGTGTATATATATATAGTATTTGCATATATTGTATAGCAAAAAAGACAAATATATTATCAACACTGTGTTGATTATGTATCTCAATTTTTACTGAATGCCGCTGTGTGTATGTTACTTTGTAACTTGTATGGAAAAAAATGAAATTATGAAATGATTTAGGTCAGCTTTTTTGTCTTTATGTTGACTCTAATGTTAATTGTATAAGAAAATTAAACTATAATTCTTTATGCTAAAATTCTGCTAAATTGGAAGCTTATTTTAAATTAAATGTAAAAGAAAAAGATAAATACTCTTATGGTTTGTTCCCACTTTTCATTATAAATGCACATTTTTACTCTTAAATTTTGTGTCTTTTTTTTTTTTTTTTTTTTTTTTTTTTTTAAATAATGTAAAACTATTGTACTGATGGGGAAAAATTGAGTAACAGAAATTATATTTCAAAATTATTTGTATATTCACTAAAATTTTACTTTTTAGGATTTTCTTGTGAAGATATGACTATTGATACAACCTTAGCTCAGTTAAGTACGTATAAATTAAATTTAAAGTACATTATACTTTACCTTTTTAATTTAAATTCATAATGATCATGAGAAATCATTTTTGCATAACCTTAAGTATTACTTGTAAAATTGTGGTGTACTTTTGAATGAATTCTTATATATAATATATATAATACTATTACTCTCTTGTTTAATAGTTTTAATTGTGAATGTAAGAACATCTGAAGTTCAGTTTTTAGTGTATATGCTTATTGGTATCTGTTGAACATAATAAGATGTGCATGACATTATAGGATGTTTGATTATTATATGAAGATGTGATTCATTATACATAAAATTGTAAAACACTAAAGTGAGATGAAATTATGCTGGAGAAAACATAAATCAGTCTTGAATGATTTAATGTGTCTGATTTTATTTTTGCTTTAATGAGCCAAATCTCTATTATTAAATAATGAAGAATCTGTATGTATGTATATTTCGTGCATTGTGGGAAAACAATGGGAACTAGAGCCACCAAATTTGGAGCACAAATCAGTTTAAAATATGACCAAAATTCATAATGTAATTTTTAAATTCAACAGTAATTAGATAGTTTTATTCCATTTTTGAATGAGTCAGTATATATTGCTCAAAATTTCTATTCAGTGGGAAATTTTGAGTTCACATTGTTTAAAGGATTATTATTTTTATATTAGTAATATACATATCATTTGGAATACTGATCATTAAAGTTGATTTATTAAAGAGAGTAGAACTATAATAATGTGTGTGAGTGCTTTGGATAGTTAGCATAAAACCAAAGGTATAACTTCAGTTCCTGTTTGAGGTTTAGCTACACAGGTTATCATAAATTAAGGAAAAATCACAAAAATCATGATTACTGAAAAAGTTACATGTAGAATTTAATGAAAACTTACCCACAATATACAACACATAGTAAGGTATCAAATAACATAAAAAGAAATTACCAGACAAATATAGTAGTATAGAAATTAGCACATGCATAAAATGAACAAATCGAAGGTGCCAGTTTGCTATAGGAAAAGTACCGTCAATATGGAATATGATCGGCTCTAGAAGCAATACAGTACATACAACGATGTGTGATGCTTTCAATTATGCAGTCTATCAGTTTCATAGGAAGCGAGAGCCATTGCTCTTGCAAAGCTGTTGCAAGCACGACAAGGGTTTGAGGGGGTGAATTGAGAGCAGCTAGACGTCTCCCTAAAGCATCCCAAACATGCTCGATAGGGTTCAAGTCCGGGGATCGAGCTGGCCACTCCATGCACATAATTGTTACCTGTTGAAGATAATCATCTACGATTTCGAGCCCTTTGTGTTCTTGCATTGTTGTCCTGTAACAGGAAAGCATCACCTATTGCCCTGGCATATGGGTGCACATAAACATCAAAGATGTCATCTCTATAAATCTGAGCATTCACAGTTCCCCTTGGAAAGACATGGAGGTCTGTGCGTCCACCCAAAGAGATGCCACCTCAAACACAAACACTGCCTCTTCCGTATGCATCTCTTTCACGGATGTTTGACGGATGATAATGGGTTCTAGGTTCTCTCCATATCAAATAATGCCTATTATCGCTTTCTAGAATAAACCTGGACTCATCAGCAAAGAGAACTGCCTTCCATTGATCGGGAGTCCAGTGGACATGTTGTCGTGCCCACTGAAAACGGTTCCTTCTATGGTGTGACGTGAGCGGCACGCAAATGGCTGGTCGCCTCGCATACAGACCACCTTCGTGATGCCTTCTACGCACAGTTGACGTTGACACGAGCCTTCCGGTGGCTGCAGCAAGGGAGGATCTAAGAAGAGTCGGAGTAGCGGTTCTATTCCTGCGTGCACATAATGTCGAATATCGGTCATTGGCACTTGTTGTAGCAGTTGGCCGTCCTTGTTGAACTCCTTGATTCCGAATCTGTGGTTTGAAATTGCCTCCAAAGTCTATGAACCACAGAAGGACTCGCATTTAGCCATCTGGCCACTTCTGTTTGACTTTGTCCTGCCTCTAAACTCCCAATGGCTCTCCATTGCAGTTCTGCAGGCAAATGATACCTGGAGGTCATTGTTACAAATTGTCTATCTCGGATTTCTGATGTCACTGTCGCAGTGAAATATGTGGGCTTGCTCTCAAACATGTACTTTTATGCTCCTTGCAGATGACGTATTTCGAAAGCAGCGCCACTAATTTGCATGTCGCAGTTTTACTCAGCTACTCTTACTTGGCAACATATTCAAATTTTACACGGTTTGGCTTATTTTTGAGGGAGTTATCCCTATTTTTGTGATTTTTTCCTTAATTTATTATAACCAGTGTATTTTCTGTGTTATCCCCACTTTTGTATCAGGTTTGATATCGATTGCTACCTGTACTGTATTCTGGGCAAAGTTATATTGTTAAATCCATTGCTTATTCAGTCATAATTTTAACTAGCAGATGTTTTAACCACCAGGGAAAAAGTATAATGGAAACTGTGAACTTGGTCTCTGTTAACTGAGCCAATAATCAGTTGAAAGAAATAATTTGGAAAATGTAGTAACATTATAAAATAAGTGCATTCACAAACTTTATCAACGACTGATTTTTTTGCCTTTCGTATTAGTAACAGGGGTATCACCTCTCAATGCATGTATCGCATGCCTTAAAATTTAATTTAAAAATTAAGAAATTTGGCAGCTTGTGTAAATTTTGATGGGTTTGTATGTTCTATTTTTTTATGAATACTTTTGTCAACAAAATAAAATCTTGCATAGATTATTCATTAATTGGAACCAAATATTATCCAACACTAAAGAGTTTCAGAAGTATTGACATTTATACTTATGCATTTACTTTTAGAATTTCATATAAACAGTTTCAGAAAACTTTATAGTAACAAAAAAATTGCTTTCTATTAAACTGAGTTTTCGATTATCTAAGTGATGACAGTCCCAATTGCCTCATATGACGATGATTCAGCTGTATTCTGTATATAACACTGATTAAAAGTAACAAAACATTGTTTTATAAGTGATATTTTAAAAAGAAGGCAGTTGTAAATGTCTGTAAATTTTATTTTGGAAGCATTTAGGACACCTCATTTTCTGCTACTTCGTCTGTGAAGCTTTGTTAGTTTATACTTAATATTTTAATTTTAAACTATTGGTGAGTTTAGTTTATTATTTTAAAATTATTTAAGTTAGAACTTACTCTCTTTTAATTTAATCTTCTGCTAGTTCTATGTTTGGATTTTCTTCCAAAAATATTAGTAATAATTCTAAAATAATACATAAAATTTTAAGAATGAGCATCATTAGAAATGAAGTAATAGCTAGTTTTAGGTTATAACAAAGTCCTATGATGCAGTTTTATGGCTAATTTTAGATTATAGCAAAGTTCTACAATGCATTTTGACCATTTCTTTGTTACAGTTTTTTTTCTTGGAACATCTGCAGAACTTTTAATAATTGTTAATGTACAGAACATTTTACAATTACAGTCAAACCCTGCTATAGCAAGCATACTATTTTAATGAATCCCTGGCTATAATGATGGAACTTTCTGACCCTGTCCCATTTTTTTGGAACTTTTGCAGCTTTCAACTGAAAAATTAATGGCTTTTAAATTCATCTTGTTTAGGGTATTAAGAATAATGAAAAACACCGTAAGGCTGGGGTCTTTTTATCTTTACTCTCCTTTTTCTCTCTGTTGCAAACAAAAAAGCATGCGAGGCAGGTGCTGCACTCAGTTCTTGGCAAACCAGAACACACCATAAACATACCTTAAGAAGATCCTACTGTATCATGCATTTAGCTAAAAAACTATTGATCTCTTGAGACAGAGAACTGGAATCAGTTCTTTGATTCCATTCTAATTCTTTGTTTGAACTGTCAGATAACATTCCGTTCAAGGCTGATTCTTATTCGCAGTTGCAAATGTGTATTTTGCATGTAAGTATGTAATTGGACAGGTGGATCTAAACCATGATTTTTGTGCTGATTAATTTTTGGTATAAAATTATTAATATATGGTAAAATAGAAAAACAATGAAAAGGAAATTTAATAATTGCACAGAATGATAGATGTAATTTAAATATTTTTAAAATAAAGTTTTTATTAACATCTGTTGGGAGATGGATAATGTTAATTACCTTTCTGTGTAATTCATTAATCTATTTTTACACTGTTTTGGAATATGATCGATTCCCTCCCCTTATAATATCAGACATAGTGAACCAAATATTTGGTCTCTTGAAGTTTGTTATAGAGGGCTTTGATTGTATATTAATGTAGAGATCAAATGAATGATTTGTGTTATAGCATTTATAATATGAAACATATATAACTTTTGTTATAGGTGACCAATCAATGTCATTCATAAATCCAGAAAATCCAGTCAGTTCTGACATCAGTGGTATCTATGAAGTAATAATTTATAACATTTTAATATTAATTTTGGAAATTTACTATGATTTTGAAGCCAAAATATATTTCAGTATAATGTTTGAAATCTAATTTGTTCATTTGTTTGATTTTTTATCTTTTTCAGATTGACAGCAGATTTCAAGATACTCCTAAGGTACTTAAATTTGAAATTTCAAGATTTGAAAAATAATTTTTTTTTCTGTTCTTGTAACTATTTAAGTATAGCTTTTTGCAATGCATTTTTCTAAACATGCCTTATTATTTTTTTTAATGAATTTATGCAGTACTTCCTTATTTTTACAGCCCTTATTGTAATGACACCATATTGTCACAAAGTTCATGTTTACTTTTCAGATATTGTTCCTACCTGCCATATTTATGCATTTCTTTTAATGCAGTATCAGGAGTATTTTCGGGTCCCAAGAACTTCTGCTACAGGAATTTCACAAGATAAATTTAGAGATGATGACGATTATGATGTGCCTCATTCCTTTTTATTTTTTCACTTAATCGAGCACCGCCGTCATTCACCGTTTTGTATATTAGCAAATATTTTCAGATCCTCAAAACAGAATTTATGATTCACAATTAAGTGAACATACTATGCTTTTCCCAGTTCCTCTGTTTTGTATGCTTTGTTTGCAGTCTGAATAAATAGGTGATTTTTCTTCTGTAAGTTATCTGCAATTTTTGCCATGAGAATTATTATCTCTCTATTCGGAATCTGAACAAGAAGACACTCTCCAATTTCTCCAAATATCCACTATTGTGGAAGAACTCTGCTGACATTGTTATTCTTTTGGATTAACAGACTTTCGGCCATTTCCAGAATTTTTCCAAGGCCACCAAGGCTTATTTATTTGTTGAATCCAAGGCTTATTTAGTTGTTGAATTAAATCTAGAAAATATAGTTCTTTCATAAAACTGTTCCATTCAGCTATTATATTTTCATAAAAGTTCATTTATTTCTCAAACAATTTAAAATTACCATCCTCTGCCCAACAGTAAATAAATCAATAGGTAAAAAGATATTCTGAAACCACCGAATCAGTTGTGATTTCCTTTTGTTTGCAGCTATCACATTACATCTCCAAATATGTTTATTAACATATAATTTCAGCTTATCACATTACATTTCCAAATATGTTTGTTAACCCGTAATTTCATTTTCTGGCCATTTTCACATATTTGAATATCAGATAATGTGCCTTTTTTATGGAAGAATAATATATCATCTTCCTCAGCTGTTGGTAAATCAAATTTGTACTAACAGTTTTTAATTCCTTGTATGATGTAAAGGAAATATTGTAATGACGAAAAATTCCGGGAATCGTATTTGAACGAAAGTATACTTTTTGATCACTATTGAGTTAAATTTAATGATGTTTTTGCATGACATCTGTGTGTAAGGACAGAAAAAAGAATTCTTTTTCCCCAAACGAATTATAAAAGTATTTTAAAATGCATTCAAAAGAGGTTTTTGTGGCATCTGTATGTATGTATTTATCTCGTTTAACTCAAAAACGAGTAACCTCAGAACATTAATATTTTGTATATAGGACTGCTATAATATGTAGTTGTGCACCTCCTATTTTGGTTGCAATCGGCCACACCAAAAGTATATAAATATATGTATATGTATACCCACTCTGTTACTCAGGTCAGTGAGCTCATTTTTTTTTATTCTTATATTTTGGTACATTTTTTGCTTTAAAAAATGATTGAATTGTGTTGTTCTTATCTTCCGGTTGAGGTTTTTATGCCTTTAGTTAACCTGCATGTTATAGTTGTAGAAATATGAACGATTTAAAAGTTGTTTAAGTGTGGCTAAGCCTAATTTTTGTTTACTATAGCAGCCATATTTGTTTACATTTGAAACTTAGCAGAATCGTTAATTCAGTTTCTGCATCTTCAGTGTCTTTTAGCCAAGTGGAACCAAAATTAGATTTTCATTTTTTGGTACCGAAAAATCTGCTTGTTGCCTGCTGGCCAAATTGCTTGTTTTTGTGTAGAAACTCTAATTTAAATTGTAAAAAAATTTTTTTTGGATTGTTTTAACTGTATTTGATGTTTTATTATTTTTTCTTCTATATTTTTCAATTTTTAATGAAGATATTTTGAGATTTTATGTATTTTTGCCTTGCAGCAAACTGAGAACAGAATTAATTGAATGAGAGATATACCTCTAATGAAATTCGAGGCAATAAGTTTAAATGAAATGCAGGAAAAAGTGCATATAATTTAATATTACGTACTAGGAAATCATGTAGTGTACACATCAGATTTTTAAAAAGGGAAAAGGGCAATACATTCATACACAATCTATTCACACCTTTTTTATCTTCCTTAGTCTTACTGTTTTATCTTCCTTAGTTGAGTACGTCAGGAATTGTTAAGATATTTTTTAAAAAAGAAAATATGTTAATAGATGGTATACTGATAGCTCTTCTTGTGGTGTATGAATTAGTTAAGTGATCATTATTAGGACTGCTATTGGCTGTTTATCACTGTTCTTGCTGGTGTTTGTTTTTAAGACACATGAGCTATAAAAGTAAGGAAACACCATTTACATTATTAATATATTTTTGACTTTGGACTAATACTAGTGCCCTTTTGTGCAGAAAAACATTTTAAAAAGAGCATTTTTTTTTTTTTTTTTTTTTTTTTTTTTTTTTTTTAACAGATGGATTTGACAGATGCTTCCAGAGGTGATTTTGATACTGCTGTCATCTTAAATGCAGATGCTGGGGCTTTATGTAAGTATAAGATATCTTTGGTATGACTAAATTGTAGGTATTTAAGCATTATAATTGACAAGTATTTGCTGTTTTATGAATGTTCACTTAATGCAATTTAACCTTTATGAAAGACCTATAGCAGCATTTTTTTTTTACTAGCTTGTAAAAAAATCTGAAGATTTTTGCTGCTGAAGATGATGAACACTGATGCTAAAGATTTTTCAAAAATGTTGATAAATGAAGTTGTTTTTCAGAATATATTTTATAAAGTGATTGAATTAAAGTAGGTCTTTTAGTGTGGAAGAGCTAACAAGTTCAGGAAAGTTTTAACATATTTTGTGTGTATGTCAGTAGTTGCAGAATGGGATAAATGTATGTGTCCCAGTATTAAAGCTCACTATTGCATTTTAAATCACAGCAGATGACACATTATTACACTTGACATTGGAAAAAGTGAAGGCGCTGTAAATGTAATCATCCGACAAAAGCAAACTGCAGTCCTCTATCTCCTGCAGTTTAATCTCCTATGCTTTCTACTATAAAATTTCTGTAAGCTCAGCTGGTTATTAGTCCTGTCATTTCTAAGTTTTCCCACTGTGTTCGTTGTATTCCTGGTCTTTGAAAGTGAATTGCAATACATGTGTTATTTCTGTTTTAAGACTATATATATATCATATCATTCTTGCATTTAGTATTATCATAATATAGCTCTTAACTCTACATTTTTTCAACATAGGTCCTGGTACATCATTGGTCTCCCAGTTTTTAATTATTAGCCTGGAAAATATTTCCCACCAATAAATGAAATTTATTGAATTCATGAAACCTAAATTCTAATTCCATTCCCCACACCTTAGTGATTTTTCAGTGTAATTTCTTTTACTAAATTTGGTATTAATGCAATACCATGCAATTTATTGATTTTTTGCAGATAAAAGTTACTTATCAGGCACAAGTTGGTGACTTTTGCAACTTTTTTTTAAAAATATTTTTGATGTGGTGATACTTAATCTGTAGCCTGCAAATATTATCAACATATAAAAAAATATGTTTTAGTGATTTAAAATGCATGTTTTGATTATTAAATAAAGATTATATGATACATTAAAAAATAAAACAAATTTTTCTTAAAATTCTTCTGTAATTTTTTTCATGCCGTTCTCTTTATGTATCTAGTGATCCGTTTTTGCTTAAAAAAAATCTGAAAGCTGCACAAACTCAGCATTGGGCACAGTCTACTGCCAAATGAACCTCATCATTGCTTCCTTTAACCGTTCAGGACCAGTGTAGCGTATACGCAGCGCAAGGATTCTACTCCTACCAGCCCAGCATCCCATATACATGACGCAATGATTCTGCTCTTACTGGCCCAGCGTCGCGTATACGTAACATTAAAATGGAACGATTTATTTGAATTTTTAAAAGCTGCACAGTTTATAAAAGCAGTGGATGGAGCTAATTGGTAGTTGTTTTCACATGGGCTGATTCATACGGCATTTGACCTTCATGCACTGGCATTAGTTTCTGTTTTGTGCTTCAGGTTTTGATAGATTTATTGAAATAAACAAACTGGGAATCACAGCTCTTTATAAGTGCGCCTGTGAATTGAATTAAAGAGGCACAGGCGTTTCTGTTTATTTCGTTAAGATTTCCTTTCTTTCTTTTTTTTTTTTTTTTTCTATTTATTTTGAAACTTAATATAAGCTTTCTTGGTTAATTAAAAAGTAACATTACAATAGTATTGTAGAAGGGGAAAGACTATCAGCTTTCTCGACGCATAATTGTCTTATTGGCTCGCATTTCTCAGGAAAGAGCCAGGGTTTTTGGTTTTTTTATTCGATTTACTAGGTCATTATATAATGCCTTGAATGGTCATCGTGTTGTGCCATATTTAAGAGAATTCGCTATCAATGGGATATCACCTAATTTTAGGGCCATAATTTCTAGGGCCATAAACAGTAAAATAGGGCACAATATGAATATGAAATAGGGTAGGTATGAATGAGAATTTAAACAGTATAAACACAGCTTAAAATCGTAATACTAATAAATTATGAACGAATCAGGGAAAAATGGGCCTACCTAACTTCGGAGGCAGTCCTTATAATTCCAATATATTTCTTGGCCAATCGAATGTAATCCAAAATCGAATTTTCGATTTAACGTCCAAAATTCAGAAGAATGGTCAAGGTATCATGGCGACATCATTCACATATGTCGTCCAGCTTGAAGAATAATAAATCGTCGTAAAGGCACGTCTTCATTCACATACTTCGTCCGGCTTAAAGAAGAATATTAATTTGTCATAAAGGCACGTCTTGCCTTTGTTAGCTTTCTGAACATCTTTAGTGATTGCTGGTGTCTAGGGTTCGATTAACGCATGCACAAAAAGCACAGTTGAGCCCCCAAAATGTGGGGAAAGACAGCGACCATAGTTGATAACACACGTTTATTACTATTCACAAACATAGATTACATTAGGATTACAATTAATGATATAATATACAAGCGATTGAGCGACGTCTGCTCCGCTCGCCCGCTAGTCCTCGTCTTCTCCCGAAGGCGGGAAACACATGCTGACGCAATGCATACATCACACAGTAGGGAATTAGGGAATATTATGATGTAACATTTCCCACACATATAATGCAATTATATATTATGTATATATTAACGTGATCAGTAATGGATATTCCGCCAGTGGGGGTTTTTCCTTGATTGCTTTTCGGTTATTGTGGACGCTATTTTCAATTTAGAAAAATAGGAAGTTTTCTAATATAAACCTGATGTCACACAGGGTTTGAGGAGGAAATATTTCTTAGTGTCTTTTGAAGAAGTTTTGGGACATGTGTTGGGGTTATGTTCAGTTTCATCCCCTTAGCCATGGCTAAGAGACCTTACTTAAAAACTTACAAATTTGTGCAAAATCACTGGACACTCCACCTTTTCGTCTAACTGGAAGACAGTTTCCGAAAATTTACGTTGACGGAAAAGGTAATGAAGGTAGAAGAAGATGCGTTGTTTGCGCTAAAACCCAAATAAAAGCGAAAGCAAACAACATATTTTGAGTGAAAAATATGCAATGTAGAATTGGTGTCGATCCTTGTTTTGAATTATTTCACACACACAGCAGAATTTTTAAATTGGAATTTAATTACCTACAGTTTGTAGTTTAGTTTTTTTCTAAAACTTTTTTTAAAAAAGTTTAGTTGTTTAGTTGTTGTTTTAGTTTTTTGTTTAGTTTTGTTTGTTTGTTTAGTTTGTTTAGTTTTTTTCCTTTAAATTTCGTATTTGTGCTTTTTTAATGTTTATAGTATTTATTTCTGTGTGTATAGTTATGGTTTTAGTATTTAGCCTTTTTAATTTATTTCTATTAATGTGATATTCTTTATATTAATACACATTAAAAATATGTACATTAAATATGCAACTTCAAAAATTGAAGTGTTGGTTGAAGTGAAAAATGTTGATTTTATATGATTTGTTTTATAAAATTAGGTTTAACTGCTGACAATGTGCTTGCCGATGACGACAATCAATTTCAGCGGGCCCGGTCCCATGACTGCACTTCGTTCTCCCGGCGCTTGTCCTTAAGGGGTTAATGATTTGCTGAAAAAATCTTGTATCCCTGCACAAATTTTACCACAGTTTTTTCATTTATTAGCAAATTCTAAAAGTGCACATTTTAAATTTGAGTTTAAAGTAGGGAGAAAAAATATTTTGTCTACAAAAACCATTGGAACTTGGAATGCAACAAAAATAATGCATACAAAAATGGCAGTACGGCTTGATTAAATGTTTGCATGATTGAGCATGGTTGATGCGTGCATAATGATGCATTTTTTTTTTTTTACTAGCTTGTAAAAAAATCTGAAGATTTTTTATTCTGAAATTTGAGAAGAATTCTGAAGATTGAGCATGCATGATTGAGTTATGAGCATGGTTGCTTGAAGAAAGGTTATGTGCGTAGTTGCCAAAGTTTGGCACATTCTGAAAATTTGGCGACCTTCTGCTAAGTTAATGCGAGAAGGCTATATTTTATCTGAATTATCTTGGGTATTTGTAGAATTTTTTGATTTAAATAATGTTTATCAGCTAATATTTGTATTTAATTTTGTTTGACATCTATACATGATATATTACTGTCTTTAACTAAATGGTAGTGTGTACTATAATTATTATTTTTATCATATTTAAAAGTGCTTTTGTAAATAAAAGTTTTCTTTTCTTAGTCAGTATATGCACATTGATTGTTAATTTTATTTTCATTTTATTTACAACTACTTTGATAAGTAAAAGAACATAAAATTTAAAATATTTAGATAACCATTAATATATTTTACATTAGAATCAGAAACACCTATGGCCCAAATCTGCAGCCTTTAAGTCTTAGGAGAAATGCATGTTTAGGGAAGTACTACAATAAGCTCTCTAGTCTTCGCCTCCAGAATCGTACCTCGAAATTTTTAGGGTGATGGAGCAATAACCAGAGGCTCAAACATGACAGTTCCTTTGGACAAGTTGTTTCTGACCACCTTATCGCCAGTTCTATAGATCATCACAGCTTATCTCAGATTATCGACCCCTCTGAAGGTCTCGATGGGTTTACTTCCATGTTAACCTTTCTGTCCAAGTTAGCAAACAGATGGAATTGCCATGTTACTTCAAACATTACTACAAAAATATGTACATTAAATATGCAACTTCAAAAATTGAAGTGTTGATTGAAGTGAAAAATGTTGATTTTATACGATTTGTTTTATAAAATTAGGTTTAACTGCTGACAATGTGCTTGCCGGTGACGACAATCCATTTCAGCAGGCCTGGTCCCATGACTGCACTTCGTTCTCCCGCCGCTTGTCCTTAAGGGGTTAATGATTTGCTGAAAAAATCTTCTATCGCATGATTTAGTTATGAGCATGAAATAATTAATAATCTTGAAGTAATTAATAATGTCTCTATAGATGCTGTTCACATGTATACGGACGGCAGTAAACTTGTTAATGCCAGTTCTGACAGTGGCATTTATATTAGATTTCAGGAAAGAAGAAATCCAGACTTCTGCTCGGTATTTCGAAGCGAGTTTATTGCAATTCTAGAGGGTTTGGACTCCATCATGTGGCTTCCTCAGTTAAAAGATATCTGGATATTTTCGGATAGTAGAAGTGCCGTCCAGAACTTGGCTGATTGGCTTAATGTGAGGGATAGGATGGATACGATTGAATAAAAAAGATAATTGATTTAACCGCCCAGGAATCACATCAGTTTTCAAGTGCAGACATCCTCAGGAAACTAAAACAACTTTCCCTTTCTCATCGGATCCAGTTTCGGTGGATTCTGTCCCATGTTGGCGTTGCTGGAAATGAAATTGCGGACAGCTGTGTTAGAGCTGGTGCTAGTGAGACCACGCCTGCCACTCCTCTTACTTATAAGGAACTGTTTTCTAAATAATAAGGCCATTTGGATGGTCCCACCAGTGCATCCATGGTATCAGAGTAAATGCCCTTGTGGCTTCTTGGTTCAGAGCAGCAATATATGAGATCAAACTGCACTTAATAGATTCCTTAGTGGCCATCTGTTATCAATGACTTTTGTCGGTGGTAATAAACACTTCGAAATATGCACTAGGTGTTCTCCCACACAGGCCTCTTCTGGCCACATCTTTTCTTGTCTGGGGCTTACCAAGCAGGACCTGATTCAAGATCCCCTTTTTGTACTGGACTCTTTCAGGGTGAATGAACTCATGGACCTGATCTAGCTCTGCTGGTCATGGGGATGAGACACAACAATAACACATTAGAATCACAAATAACTTGAAATTATTTTCAAAATTGAAGTTGAAAAATTGCTTTCTTAAACTTTAATGGAATTTTCTGAGAAGAAGAAGGAGAGGAGAAAATTGAAAAATGCATTTTATAAATTGGTGATAACTGCTTCTTTTCTTACATTTTGGCTTACAAAAGATATAGGAATGATCTGTTTTTGTAAAGTGAGAGAAACTTTTACATCATACTGAATTATTTAATTAAAGCTTTATCAAGCATTTCCTCATTTCTGTTTTGAATGTAAAATTTAAATTTGTATCTTCCTTCTCTTGATAAAAATTTATACATGCTATGCATTAATGCAGTCTCCTTGATATTTGCCTTGTAATGAAAGTTTAATTCTTTAAATTGAATTCGAGGGTACCATTTTTGGTTATTTTCTATATTTAATATTACTAACTTTAAAAAACTCTTAGTTCCTAAAACATAGCCTTTTTTTTTTTTCATTTTTATTAAAATTAGTTTCCTTTTACTGCTTGTGTATATTTCAAACATCTTCATCTTGAAAATATAAAATCAATTAATATTCTAGGTGTAAGTAATGAAAGGTGTGACTTGTCAGTATTTGCTGAATTCATCCACACTGCTGTCAGCAGTGTAGATGAATTCAGCAAATATTCCTTGTTTGTAGTGAGATCTATGAACTGTAAACACTGTAAACATTTTATTTCAACCATGCTCATTAACCTTTTTATGACGGCGCACCTTTGTTTAAGACACTCGTGCGGGATGGAAGAGAATCGAAGGCAGTTACCGTACAGGACGGAGGTTTTGCATCGCTAAGCCTAATTTTATAACAAAAATCAGACAAAAAGTTTCGCTTCTAGCATCGTAATTTTTGGTATCATTTTAGATTATTACTTGAGCTCTTATATATGTTAAAATTAGCCCTTAAAACATTTTTTCTTTATTTTGCATGAAAATATACTTAAAAAATTGCTTATCTTTTAAAATAATTTTCGAAAGCGCTATTCAAATTATTCCAAAGTTTTAATTGATAAAATCCATCAATAAAGTTTAAAATTAATAAAAAAAACACAATAAAGACTATTTACAGTAAGAAGTAACAAAATTTAAAATAAAAACGAGTGTGGTAAATTTCGAAGCACAGAGAAGTATCACTTTGTAACTCTTAGAAAAAGTAGTGCCTTTCCACCATAATAGACTGGAGGTGAGGCTTTCCTAAATAAAAAAAGAAGGAACGGAAATATATCTGAAGGCAATGCAAAACGTAAAAAAACTCTACACAGTAACCCTAAAAGACCATACATAGTAGAATAAAAAAAGGAATTGGATATAAGTCTATACGAGAATGTTTTCATTAGCACGCAGCGATTTAAAGAGCCCACCTCTGTTTACGATTTCCCTCCGCCCCCCACCCCAACCCTCGAACAGCTGATGAGTAAAATACCAAAGTCAAGTAGAATATATCAAACTCAAGGTCAGGAACCTAAAACTGTGTTCATTTCAAAAGTAATAAACCCAGGATGCCATCTAGTGGCCTTCAGAAAAACGTTCCACCTTAAAATGCATATACGCATCACCCGTCCTCTGAATGCGATCTTTACTGATGCATGGATGTTACACCTGGCTGTAAGAGACGTTCTTAGGGAATGCGTATATGGGACGCCCCGTCCTGAAAGGGTTAAGAGGCAGTTACTTTTTTTCTAATAATTTGTACTTACTTCAGCAAGTTCAGAGTCTGTAAACTGTTTTCAAAGACAGATTGTTTGTTTTGAAATATTCAGTTAACTTCCCACTTTCATCACTACTTCTGTATGATAGACAACTTTCCAATGCAAGATTTCTTTTAAGTGATACTTCAACTGCCTAAGAAAGTGTTTTGATGTTATGAATACTAAAATGAAGCCCTGAAACATGGGAAAATGTAAAATTTCACCAGGAGGCAAATAAATTGTAATGAAACTTATTGGTATAAATCTTAGCAATAATACTAATTTTAAAAAGTTTTTTTTGATTTAATTAACTTTTTTAATGTATTTAACATTACAGCATAGTTTTCGAACACACTTATGCTTTTTCTGATGTTATTTCAGATGCTGATTTTTTATATGAAGAATTTCTTGATTTTTTTCTGAGTTACGCAGGAGAGCATGAGATTTTTAATCTTTTGCTAAATTATGAAGAGGTAAGAATTATATTTGTATTATGGTGAGTAAAGCTATAATTACTCATTATGCACTTAAATCTCTTTTCATTTCTTTATTAAATCATATACCTACATAGCGTGTTTACACATTTTTGGAACAATTTTAATAAAGGATTTAAGGAAAAAAAAAAAAGGTTTGGAATAAAAGTTTGCAGCAACATTCCAATTCTGTAATTCAAAAATATTGTACAGTGCAAGGTATTAGAATTTCTGGGTGCAAACTAAGCAACATTTTTAATTTAATAGGGGCAAACTGCTAATTGGAAAAATGTCATGACTTCTACATGGAAAGAAGATTCCAGACGAATACTCGAAAAAGTACATATTGTTTTTAACGTTTCTAGAGTTAAATCATTATTAACAGGAGAAGATCCTCTGATGCAAAAATCAGTTGCAAAAGCAACAATAAGTAAAATGATAAATCAAGATTTACAATTTAAAAAAGCTAAAAAAGATGATATTCACTAACTTTTGCTGAGGCATATGGCTGAACACAGAACAATTTGTGTAAAACTATTTAGCAAGAAATAAATAGAAATAGATTGTGACGCTTGATGAAACATGGGTTATCCAAAATGATTGCAATAAAAAAAAAGGTCTATTTATGATCGAAAATGAAATATATATATATGTGATATTTGCAGTAGATCAGCATTGGAAGTCGGTCGCGAACACTTAGCCGACAGGACACTTAACCGACACCAGTCAGCCGACAAGACATTTAGCCGACAGGGCACTTAGCCGACATGGACACTTAGCCGACAGGACATTTTGCTGACAGGGACGCTTAACCGACAGGTCATTTAGCCGACACAGACAGTTAGCCGACAAGCCACTCGGCCAACAAGGACACTTTGCCGACAGGACATTTAGCCGACACGGACAGTTAGCCGACAGGACATTTCGCTGACACAGAGAGTTAGCCGTCAAGACATTTAGCTACGGGACACTAAACTGTCAACACATGTAGTTGACAGGACACAAAGCCTACAGTAACGTTTAGCTGACACGTACCCAGTAATTATTTAAACTTACTATCAATTACAAAAGTTCTCGACTTTCCATAAGTTCAATATTTAAGTTATTTTTTCACTATTAGTAAAATTCATTTTTCGATTCTTAAAGATCTCATATATACTTTTAATTATTGTGTTAATTTATAATTGTTTGATATGTATCCGTGGACCTTATAAGAAATAGACCAACCCAAATGGGTTTTCTCCCTTGCCTTGGCGTATTGCCGGCTGTCACCTTGACCACATCCGGAGGAGTAGGAACGACTTGCAGAAACTTAACAATAGTTGGCTATTGCAGCGCGTGTAATTTTCAAGAAAAAGGCTGGTGATAGCACCTCATTTAACAAATTAGAATTTTTAGGTATTCTTATTTTTGAAACTGAGATTGATTTTTAAAAAATTTAGCGTGTTTATCAAGCATAATTAATGTTCTAAATAATTATAAAGCTGTTGCATGCTTTCAGGTCTGGATGTTTTTTAGCTTTTCCTATGCTGTAAGGAAATTTGTATCTCCTTCTTTTAAAAAATAATATTTTAAATCTGAACTAATAGAAAAATTCAAACAAACAATTTTCTCTTACAATTTTTATGCTTTTTATTGGTGTAAATAAGTAAAAAATACTAAAATCGAAAAAATGGATTTTTGAAAGTTTTTGCTTAAAATTCTTATTGTACTGCTTTTTAAAAATTATATCTGAATATTATAGCATAATATTCTACAAAGAAGTTTTATTTCAATAATATTTCATAATACATCATAGTGATTAACACTTTAACAATAATTTTTATGCATTTATTCTAATGTTAAAAATTGTATTTAACTGTAATAATTAATTGTGCTAGTATTTTATAGTGATTATTTTTTTAATATATGTCTAGTTCTGCATAAATTTTCTTATTTATTGTTAATTTATTTTATTAATGTCCAAAGGGGCGGCAGCTCAGAAAAGCTATTAGTTTCGAAACGGCATTTTGCTTTGTTTCACTATAAATGTCCGTTTCACTTTGCAAATTGTTGCCATCAAATATTATCGCCCTGTATTATATTTAAAGAAATTAAATAATGAAGAATCTGCATAAATGCATGTATGTTTCTCTCGCACTGTGAAAAAAACAACAGAATTTAGAACCATAAAATTTTGAATAACGTAAGCCTCCACCTTAACATGGACACCTGGATGGGATAATTTCGAATAAATTTTAATCCATTTCATATTTTGGTACTTTAACGAAGTTTTGATTAACGAACTCAATGAGTTCAAAGCAAGCAATGGCAACCCTGTGCAGAAAATAACAGCGCGGAATTTATAAATTTTTATCTCCAGCGCGGAAATTCTTAGATATGTCATTTTCAAATGTTTTGTGATATTGTTCTTGAATTAAATTTAATGTGGTTTACTTGAGAAGAACATGATGTTTAAAAAATAAAGGTAAAACACAAAACATTAATAAAATGCCTGTTTGGGCGTAATATAAAATCTGAAAGCTTTTAGATTTTATTTATTTTATTTGTTTTAATTTCTTTGTTTGAATAGTTTTTAATTCTTCCAGAGTTTATGTTTTTTTTCCTCATTACACTCAAAAAAGTTTATGCTCCGAATTTTATGAATTACTAAAATAAATAATCATCTTTTAATGTTAATAATTAATGATCATAAATAAATGATTGTCTTGTTATGTTATAATAATTTTTAAACACTACTGCCTGAAAATGCTCATAAAATCAAAGAAAAGGATCAGATCTTGTTTAATTCTACCTTATTTGTTTCAAAGCATCATATGCTATCAATATTATTTAATTTTACTTTATTTATACACAAAAATAAGTTCATAAGTTTTGCGTTTAGAATTTTTACCATTTTACTAAAGTAAAGAAATTTATACAAGAATTACGCTTGAAAAAAGTGCGCAAAATGCAGTAAAAAGTTCTTTTATGAGATGTATTAAATCTTGTTTGCAAAAACTGTGACTGTCATAATCTCATCACTATACAACATTTAATAATTAAAAACAGTTATGTGATACAAACGCCATAAGTTTCTGTGTTAAAGTAAGCCAGATCGACCTTACTCTTTCTTGCGGACATGTGGGTGTTAGTCTATCTCTTATAAGGTCCATGTATGTATCGTGCTGTTTGGTGTATATTCGCGAAATTGATAAAGCGCTGAAATTTCTCGTCAGAGAATATGAATGAAATTTCAAAAGGAAAAAAGAATTTTTTTAGCTAAGTACGGCGGTCACTTAATTACATTTTAACGTGAGATCTTCAAAAATTATCCATAAAACTTCTTCATTTAATCAACTGGGTTCTTCTGAACACTTTCATATCATTAATAATTTTTCTTGTTTACTTAATGATATTAATTTTTCAATGTCGCTCTTCCAAATGCTTTCAAATTTTTAATACCTTTATGTTTCATTACTATTTTACACATCATGTTACATTCTTTCCCTTACTAAATCGTTTGGCTCCTCCCACTAATGAAATTTCCTTTCCCTGTCATGAAAAATCTGAATAATGCAATAAAAATTATTGTTATTCTTGAATTATACTTTTTTATAGAAACATATGGTGGTAAGGGTTAGTTTAGCAAATATATTTTATTTTGTTATTAAAAACAATTAAAAAAAAGTGAATTTTTAAGACAAGCAAAGGTATAAATTATTTGTGACCTCTATAATTTGCAGTTCATGCCACCATTCTTGAGATAAAAATTCTGTAACATTTTATTGACCACGCCTCTCGCTTAAAATACTTACTTAGGTTAATGTTTATAGCCCTAAACTAGTGCATAATGATTAATTTAGAAGTAAAATTTAAAAAAGTAAAATTTAAAGGTTTTGTTTTATTCATTTTCGAGAAATTTCAGCGCTTTCTCAATTTGGCCAATGTACACCAAACAGCACGATACATATCAAACAATGCTAAATTAACACAATAATTAATAGCACATATGAGATCTTTAAAAATCGAAAAATGAATTTTACTGATAGATGAAAAAAATTACTTAAATATTGAACTTATGGAGTAGTCGAGAAATTTTGTAATTGATAGTTTAAACAATTTTTGGGTACGTGTCAGTTAAACGTCGGCTTAGTAACCTGTTGACTAAATGTCTTGACAGGTAAGTGTACCGTAGCTAAATGTCCTGACAGCTAACTCTCTGTGTCGGCCAAATGTCATGTCGGCTAACTAACTGTCTGTGTCAGCTAAATGTCCTGTCAGCTAACTGTCCGCGTCGGCTAACTGTCTGTGTCGGCTAAGTGTCCTTGTCGGCTAACCTGTCTGCTGTCTGTGTCGGCTAAATGACCTGTCGGCTAAATGTCCTGTAGGCTAAGTGTCCGTGTCGGTTAAATGTCCTGTTGGTTAAGTGTCCTGTCGGCTAAGTGGTTGTCATCTAAGTGTCACGGACCCATTGGAAGTGATGAAGCATAGCAATCTGTTCACCTCAGAGTCCGGGTGTGGTCGTTACATAGTGGGAAGGCAGTTGAATTGAGGGCACAAAAGAATTTCAATTTTTAAAACTTCATACCTTTTTTCACTTAAAATTGCAGATCATTTTTCTTTCAGGTTCTCTAAAAACTACATATCCAATAATGATTTAAATGAAAATAAGTTAAAATTAAGCTTTCGATATCATAAATATTCTAACAAAGCGAAGAAGGGACAGAGCAGCGCAAGGTTTTATGGCAACAGTGGCAGGGAGCAGTCTGACGAAAAATGGCGTGAACTCTTCATTTATAGTAGCTGTTACATAACATGCCTGGTGTAGGGGAAAGATCCTGAAATTGCGGAAAATTAATTAGAGGTTTCCTGTTTGCGCAAAGCCATCATATTTTTTATATTATATATATATATATATATAAGCCTGGTTCTGTCAGTGCAAAGAAAGTTTTACAATGGGTTTATGATTGTTTCTGGATTCTCTTACAGTGAGAAATTTAAAATTAGTAATGTGTGAAAAAATCTTAAAATCAACTCAACGTAATATTGAAAAAGTTTTACATCAAATATTTACAGAAGAAACTCCATTTATTTATTCCAACGATTTTCAAAGAGTTAAGCTTCATCAAGGCGAAGCAACAGGTCATACTACAAAAAGTACCACTGTCTACCTTGAAAAAAGGAAGACTGATACAGGTATTGCATATATACTTTTTCAGTGTGTTCTTGTGAAGTCTTGATGTTTCACCTATGCCCTATTGTGCCTCTGGTCTGTTTAAAAGAGTTTTTTCTATGTGCAAGCCTAGCATAATTGATGGACTCTGGAGAGTAGTGGAAGTGGATAGAAATTAATACCTATAGAAATTTTGTGAATTGCCCAAATATCATGGAAACCATAATGCCAAATTATTATAGTCCAAGGGGGAACTACGAGATCAAACTTTTAAAAGAATACTCTAAATTTTAAATATTGATTAAAGTGTCCCGGAATCATTCTGAAAATGTGTAAATGCTTTTTGTATAATAGTACTTTTATTATTAATAACCTGACATATTATGTTATTATTCTATGATAATTTTAGCTGTGTTGTAAAGGCATTGAGAAATTACAAGAAATACTTGTGAAAAGAACTTCAGTAGAAACTAAGTAAGTGATTTTATCTGAATTTGAAAAAAAGTGTTTGATATCCATTCAAGATTTAATTACCCGTACATGGGAATTGTTGATTAGAACTTTTTTTTAAAATGTGCAATGTTTAGATATTCCAATTATGTACCATTGTGTATAAAAGCAACTTCCAAATAGTATAGGTTTATCGACTTATCAGTGCTGTTTTATCACAAATTTTTCTTTTCCTTTTTTATAGGCAATTCAGGGTTCCTACAGTCCTTAAAAGTCCTTAGATTTTTTGCAATCGATTTTTGGTCCTTAAAAGTTCTTAATTTTGGCCAAAATCAGCAGACGGTCCTTAATTTTAATCATCTGAAATTTCTGTCTGTTTTTACGACTGCCATTTTGAGTGTGAATTAGCATTTTAGGGAATATTTTTGGCGATTAACTGACGTATCTTTTGAATGGGTTCATGGGTTATAATTTGTTTCTATTTCTAATATAAGAGTGAGGGGATACTCGAGTTTCTAAGCAAAAAGTGAAACATAAGCATAGCAAAATTCGTTTTTATCTAATAAAGAGCCCTTAAACAACTTTTCGTTTTTGGGGATGTGAATTCTTTTATTAAACGGCTCTAAATTTGGCTACTTATCAATATTTTGGCGATTTTAAGATCAGCTTTTATAGAAAATTTTTAATTCTGAGATCTGAGAATTTTTTGACGACTTTTTTATTTAAAACATCGTAACATTGAGAAATTTCATTAAAAAATTATAATTTAGGTAATTATATTAAAAACATTATTTATAAATTAAAAATTTCATAAAATACATTAAGGAAAAAATTTTATTTTTCCGCTGTCATATTATAAAGTTTCATTTTGGCAACATGGCCCACCAGCGGCCGAGCGGTAAAGTCACTGAACACTGGTAGTTCGGTCCGAGGTTCGAATCCCGCAAACGGGCTGGCTGCATGGATGTTTTCGTGGTTTTTTCCCCATGTGTAACGTGTATATAAGCCAGTTTCCCTTAGAAAGTCCTCCATGAAGGCATGCATCTCCTTAGGCAGATAGCCCTCGAGGCTTTGCCGTAATTAATTAACCTAACCTAGCCTAACCTAACCATTTTGGCAACTTATTATACAATATTTTGAATCTGAAAAATTAACAAGGTATAATACTATAAAGCACAATTTACGAAACAGCTCTTAGCAAAAGCAAAATTAGCTATGTAATTAATTCAAAATGCCTTCTTTTTAATTTTTTCATAGTAAGAGTTTTTTCCATGAATTGTCTCATTTAGAATTTTTAGAATATGCATCAGTTTTTCTCTATAAAATTAATTTTGCACTTTTTCCCTTCCCCCTTTTTTTTCCAAACAATTTCTGTTACAAATCAATGTTACAAAATTGGTAGGGATAAATTTTTTTTTTGGATTTTAGACATTGCAGCTTGGAAAGTTTAGAAAGATTTGAAGGCAAGATTTATAGAAGATTCGAGAAATATGTGACAAAATGAAAATGTCTCCGTGGTATCAACACGTAATTGATGTATTTTACAGAAAGTTTGCAATGAATTTCTTACTTTTTGGAGAACGTCTGGAAGAACAATGAAAACATAATATTTTAATGTTTTACTTCTGGTACTAGAATCTTAACATGTTTATCTTCCCTTTATTTTCTCTACTTTTCACTAGCTTGAAGCATGGAAAATATCAAAAATGCTTCTAATCTTATCACATGGGCAGGCATTATAGAAAGGGATTTTTGTATTAATAAAGAAATTGAAAACTTACAATTTAAAAGATTAATCTGATATGTCTTAATGCAAGTTACTCATAGCTGGCACTAGGCATTTTCCCGCTTGATGCAATCTCTGTGGATTCTAAATTCTGTTGCCTAGTGCCATTCTAAATGCATCCAATGCCAGCTTTAAATTCTAAAAGTTTTGCCATTTATAGATTTTGTTGTTCGGTGTGTCATTCAATTCTAAAAATTCTGCCACATCAGCTCTGTAACTGGTCTTTACCATATATATTTCATATTTCTTTTGAATATTCTTATTACTAAAAAATTAAATTAGCCGCTTTTTCTGTACATTCTAAATGCATTTAGTGTTTTCTAAAATAACAGAAATACTTAATTAAATCATAAAATTATAAAATGAAAAGGAAACATGTTGAAGAATGAAACTAAATACATAAAGAAAATTATTCTTCAAAGATATGTGCAGTTATTATTATATAAATTACCCAATTATTTATGATTTCAGCCTTTACTATAATTTCCCATTTCTATTTCCTCATATGATAGAGTTACTGAGCCAACCCTCTGAGTGGTCAGGGTTTTCACTAAGAAAGCACAAATTTCCCAAAACTACTATGAGAACAAATTATGTTTTTGATTTTAATGTAAAAATTCTCCTGGTATTACATACCTGGATTTGTGTACTTTTGATATATTGCCTTAATTTCTTTGACATATTTTAATATGCACGTATATATACATTCTTAAAGATATCAAAAAATATTCTAAGCCGTATATATACGGCCTTGCCGCTTAGAGGGTTAAATTAAAACTAAATTGTATAATCTTTGACCACTAGTCCACATTTTTAGTTTGAATTTGACTGTTCTTGTTTAATTATGTCACCATGAGCTGTAACTGATTTTGTTAGCATCAGAACATGCCTTTATATTTTAAGTTCTTTTTTAAATAAGAGGCTTATTTAAACCTTTGTCTGATATTACAGTTACTTTCAGACATAGCGATAATATACTTCACGTCTGTCGAGGGGTTTGGACTATTTAACTTTTACCAGATCAAATAAACCCTCATAGGTACATTGTGGACAAGTTGATAAGTTAGGAGATAAAGCACACAGAAACTAGCAAGAGCATTGGTTTTTGCATATTGAGACAAATCTCTAATTGTTAGAAAAGATGCTTAAAGAGAAGGAAATCGATATAAACTAGCCAAAATGTCTGTGAAGGCTTCAAATTAAAATGTATATTTTGCTATAACAAAAATAAATATTTTGTTGAGTGTTGTTGTTGCAAAACATAAATGTTTTGTAGCTTTTAATGTGTAATTATCCTAATACCATTTAAGAATCAATGCCGTAAATTACATGTATTTTAAACTGTGAAATGATATTAGATTTTTATTTTGATAACAAATATTGTTAAAAAATAAAATTTAATAGTGGTCATGTAAATCCATAATGACTAAGGTTATTAACCTACCTAATTTAATTATTGAACTGTTTATGCTTAAAAATTTTTCTCTACATGTTAAAGCGAGTTATTGCCTTTGGTCAGGCCCACTAGCGGCCGAGCAGTAAAGACGCTGAACACTGGTAGTTCGGTCCGAGGTTCGAATTCCGCGAACAGGCTGGCTGCATGGGCGTTTTCGTGGTTTTCCCCATGTGTAATGTGTAAATGAGCAAGTTTCCCTTAGAAAGTCCTCCACGAAGGCATCCCTCCCTTTAGGCAGATAGTCCTTGTGTGCTTCGCCATAAATAATCCAATCCACTGTGGTCACAAGATAAAATACAAAAATGTAAAAATTCAAGTAAAATGTATTCTTTGCATCTAGTGAGACTTAAAATAATACAAAACAACTTATCACCTCTGATGCTTTAATGGATTATTGGAACCTTAAAGTATATTAACTGGGTTACAACCCCTGGAACTCTACACAAAATTACGACGCTAACTGCATCAAAAAGAGCCTGACTGACTTTCAACACTTGCCAACTGTGCCTACATCAGGCCTTTCAGGTTTGTTCGAATCAGCAGGTCTCTCTCTAGATTAGTAGTAGCGGTCACAACATTCAGTCTTTTATTACGAATCATGCTGATTATGATCTTACTTCTTATTTTAACTTATGCTGTTTGACAAAATCTACCTGCTATTTACGAAACCAAGTAAACTGACCAAGTATGTGACAAAATGAGGCATAAAAAAAAATCAACATAAAGCTACTGTTAGTAAAACTTAAATGTCACTTATCTTCTTTCAATATGTCCAACTATTATAAGTGTAAAATATTTAATGCTACTTGATAAATTGCATAAAGTTTATTTTATTCTCAAACTCATTAATAATTATGTTAATTAATTCATGTTTAGTAATGATGCATACTACTTAGGGATCGATTTTATTTTTAGGATGGATTTACAAAAGTAAAATTCAGACATAGATAATACTTTTAATTGAATTTATACAGTTCCCAATTGCTCATAGGTCCTTAATTTTTTTCATTAATGGTCCTTAAAAGTACTTAATTTCCGTGTGCAGAAATGTGTACGAACCCTGGCAGTTGTGTTTTACATAGATGGTTTGTGATAATAATTTTTTCTGTCCTTCTACGATGAATAATTTTCTTAGACTGTCTGTTAATCTGCCTCTTGTTAATTGGGAGTTGATTGCATTTAAATTCTGCTCAGATCAGTTTTAAATTTTGGTTTTACTGATATTCAGTTTTGAGCACAAGTATTAAACACTTTTTTAGCTGCAGAGGGCTATTAGTGTCAAAACACGACTTTGCATTGTCAACTGTAATTACTTTGTTTCAGTCTGTTGCTATCCAGTGGAATGTAAGATATTATCTTTCAAATTTAATATGTCTGTTATTATAAACTAAGCTGTTTAAAAGCTGTTGGGAAACTTTCATTCCCCATTGTGAATATGAAGAGATGAAAAGCCCAGTGCTATATATAATACCACAGTAAATGTGTGACGAACTGTATATTCCGATCTGCTTATCTGGGTTGTATGTTGTGCTCATTATCGATGTGGCCAGTATCTATGAATCTCTCCAGCATGGTGGGATGATTTGTTATCAAACAAAAGATTAGGAATAGAAATCTAGCAGTGTGTCCTGGATCAGCATTTATATAAAGCATTGCATTGAACTGCAGCCAAATACGTGCTGACCTAAATGAATTGCAGAGTAGACTCTACTGACATAGTGCAGCAATTCATACCAATCAATTTAATCGCATATTATCAATCTTATGTTTTTTCCTCGCATATCATGGGTTGACATACCCTGTTCATCTGTTTTTATAAAGCTCAAGGAAAGCATCCATTAATATCCTTTTATTTCACTTAGTTCATGTATGCTTCTTTGGTAGGCAACCATGTTTTCTACTGTGCATTACTCTCAACAAACAACAAAAGCACTAAAGTTTTTAGAGATACTATTTTTTTACTATTAATCTGCTTGTTTTAAATAAAAGTGCAATTAGTTAATGATTTATCTAATTAAAACAGTAAATATATTTATGGAATTACCATATATATTTTTCATTTTTCAAACATTTTCTTTTTATGCAGAATATATATAATCTCATGTTAGAGCAAAATGCATGTTTTTTTTTTTTTTTTTTTTTTTTTTTTTTTTATGTTTTGTTATTCCGCCCGGGCTCTCTTTATTGATAATCGTTACTAATAAACTGTATTAGACATTAAAAGAGAATTTTTGTTGACCATTAAAATTTGAACCCTTTAAGATTTTTATTTAAAAGTACTTTATGTGAAAGCTTTTCTTGTCTATTCAGTATAAAATAGTATGAAAATTACAAAATTAAGTTAGTCAACAACATAAAATTTAGAATATCCGATTAAATAGTAATATATTTCACATGAGTATCATGTTATAAATAGTACAATAACCTAAGTACATATTATAAATTGAATTGAAGTCCATTTAGAGACTTGAATAATGTAATAATAATAATACATTTATTTACATTTGTCTAATCATTTGCACTGAATTCAATTTGTTTTGCTTTAATTCTGAAAACTGGGCAAAACAGTTAATTTGTATGTAAGCTTTTTTTTTTTTTTTTTTTTTTTTTTTTTTTTTTTTTTCTGTCTTGTCTGAAATTTGAAAACCTAATTTTGCCAAAAATGGCCACTTCCTCTGTGGTGAGAGATCATTCTTTTTTACTAAGTAATGTTAAATTTTTATGATTTTAGCATTTATTTTATGTTGTTGCTTAGGTTTTGATTAGCTACTGCAGCAAAAGAGCAAGAACATTATTTGTTTTAAGAGAGATGCTTTTGTGGGGGTATTTCAATGAAAAATTGGCTCATATTCATGCACCATGAAAATTCCATTGAACCATCCCATTCATTCATGGAAAATCAAATTTAGGATGAAGCACTAATGTTCTATGGTCTTATCCTTTTACTGTGGCTCCCAAATTGCTGTAGCTAGACTAACAAGTGGCTCACCTTAAATGTCTCTCCTTTGATAATGGCAGAAAAATCCACCCCATTTGTAAAAAATTGCTGTGACCATCCAGCTTCGTTGGATCTCATTCTGATTTGCATAAGGTTGTTTAAGAGTCACAAAGAGCTTTCATATATTGGATGACCTGATGTATCTTCATTTGTTGAAAATATTCTTAAAAAAGCATAAATAGCATTGAGGTAAAAGGAGAAGTAAACACTTTGCTTTCTTTTAAGATAAATGTAAGAGGAAGAGGAGTGATAAATTATCTTTTTGTGTGTATATATATTTAGATAAATAATGTTAGACTGTGATTTAATATGGTTGTAAGGAAAGTATTTAAGGGGGAGAAATTGTATTATATTTGGGTCAGTGTGGTATTTTGCAGAAAGTATATTAAATTTTTATTTTTAGTAATCCATTTAAATGGAATGTTCATTTTTTGTAAGATATGTATAATACGTATGTTTCATTTTGGAATGGAATCAAAAAGTTGAATACCAAGCTATTCTTTTTTCTGCTTTTGATAAGACAAATTTTATAGTACTTGGAATTCTGTATTAAGTAGCTTAGTTTTAAATGTCTGTATTTTTCACTCTCTGGCCCATCTTATGTAGCATGAATATTGCTAGCGAGGTATGATGCCATTGGGCTCAGATTTGAATACAAAGCAACAGCCCATTTGTGACTGCAGTGTTTTACAGAATGAAGGTACTTGAAATTTATCAGTCTCAAAATCTATCAAGAAAATGATAATTGTGGAATTGGAATGGTAGTTGGCATATGATGCCTTTTTATTCTACATTTCTGAGTTCTTATAAATGAGATAATAGATGAGGCTTAGATATATAACTTTCAACAACCTTTGCTTACCAGCCTTCAATAAATGAACACTAGTGAACAAAGCCTTTTGCTTTATCAGCAACAAAAGTCAATACTGAAACTTGTTATTTTTAACAGAGAACTCTTTTTTTTTAATTTGTTTTTGTTTGTTATTTAGAAATACTTGTTTGAACCTTCAGCCTTATAGTCTGGATCTCAACTTTTCCATTTTTCTTTTTGGCTTTATTAATTTGGGGCATTTTTTTAACAATGTCCACAGTTTTTATTGTTCTGCTATTGAAATGTTAAATTAAAATATCTGTCAACTATTTCCTATTAAAATACTCAATTTTAAAAAATGCTTTTTAATATTTCTTTTGATTGTAATAAAAGAAATTTGTTTATTTTCAGATTACAGAAAACATCTTGCATGCTTCGTTTTTTGCAAGAAGAACGTAACACTTGGCGATTATTGCGAACACTTTTTAAAGATCGTTTGGAAACTGAAATTACTGAAGAAGGGGATATAACAATGTATCCTTTGGTAATGTTCATTTAATACTTACTTAAAATATATTTTTTAATTTGAAATATATAATAATTTTGTTTGACAATCCAATTTCTTTATGTGTTTTACTTTCAGTTTCTTTATGTGTTTTACTTTATTGTTGAATATCTTTATCATTTGAAGTATGTAAGTTTATTGACAGATAAAATTTGTGCATCATGTAAAAAGGGGAAGAGAAATATTTTCATCAGTCTTATCTTATTAAATTCCTCATTTTCTCTAAAAATAGTGAAATGCAGTTTCTTTAAAATGTACTGTTAGTCTTTACAAGAAACATTTTCAGTAATTAATATTAACAATATGTGCCTCCACATATATAAAATTTTTCAAATGAATATGGAATTAAGTTGTTCCAAAATAGAAAATCTTCTAATTTCTTACTCTTTTTCAAATAATTCATTATCATGTATTAACTGTGCATTGCTTAAATAGATTGATGATTATATAAAAGAAACTGTGTTTACTTTCAGGGAAAGAAAATAAGTGACAAACAAATAGTTGAAAATATTTATCAGAAAGATTCATACATACGCCAAAGTCAGGTAAATATGTGTACTGGTATTTTCAACTTTGAAATTTAATTTCTAGGAGCTCTAGCGGAGTCATGAGTTTATTTATATACATATTTTTAATTATGCAAAAACTTCATTAAAATATTTCAGGTAGTGTAAATATGCAGATTAGGAAAGGTTTACTTCTGGGGAGGGTATGTAGCATAAACAGATTTAAATTTCTCAGTACAGTACAAAGTCATTAATCTGGATGTCCATAAACCGGACCTCAAAGCTGCAAACTTTCGTAGTGTTTTCGCATGCGCATAATATGTTTACGCATGCACATAATACGTTTACGCATGCACATAATACGTTTACGCATGCACATAATATGTTTACGCATGCGCGTTTAATGTATAACGGACGGTATAAGCTAGGCTAAAATTATCAAATTATCTATTTCAGTTAATGTTGCAGATTGCATTGTTCCTTAATCTTCTAATTGGATTCGGCTTATTATTTTTTGCACACTGTTAGAGCAATTTTATAAAAAGTAAGCTTGAACTTTCGATTATGTCAAATAGTTTCCAATTCTGGAGCTGCCAAAGGATCTACAAAGCAAAAGCATGTTTCTATGTCCATCAAGCAAAAAGTGGAATTGCTTCAAAAAATGGATAAAGGCATGAAGAAAGCGGAGAGAGGTTGGTGAAAACGAAAAAATTTCTATTGACAAGTTAGTCGGTATTTTCGGCAAACAGCAATTACAAGGACTTGAACAGAACGGAACTTTGTAACTGAAACAAGAAATTATGTCTTTCTATAGAATTAAAAGAGAAAGTATTAGCACAATAAAACAAAGCAACTTGAAACAAGCTTACATTAAAAGAAATGTTTAATAAAGGTAAACAAATAAATATTAAGCTTTTTTTTTTTTTTTGTAAATTTTGATACCCTTTAGATCATAAATATTGCTCATTATTTCATAAATTACCGATTTCATATTTTTAAGTTTCATAATTTTCTGCATGCCATCTTACCAGATTTAAATTGATGATCTATAAACCGGAAAAACCGCTAATCCGGAATCGCCAAAGTCCCGACGAGTCCAGATTAAAGACTTTGTACTGTATTATAATTATGCTTTGGGAGAAAAAAGTCTCTATTTATATTTGTATCATTATTTGTTTAATTTTTACCCTGTAAAGGAAAATTATAAAATTTGTATTTAAGTTTGTAACAGCTCATTACAAATTTTAACTGATTTACTTAAATTTCTTTTTAGCTTATAGTTGATTGGTTGGAAAAAAATGCTGCTGATGATTTTCGGGACATGTTCTTTGATAAATTTGAATATTTCACAGACAATTGTTTAGCACTGTAAGTTTAGTTTTTGTTCTAAATGTTATTTCTGAGTAGATAGAATTTTTAGAGTTAGCAACAGTACTTCATTTGTATGAAAAATTTGTGCTTGTTTTAAAAATTAATTAAGAATATCCTTGTTTATAACTGTATTTTAAATCAAATGTTATTTAGATGCTTTTATACATGAAATATATTGGGAGTATTTATTCTTACGAATCTTGGGAATTTTTTTTTTTAAATTGGTGTCCTTAGTAAAACTTTCTCTATTTTTATGAGATAATGTTGAATAATTTTTAAAATGGTTGTGTTATATGAAGTGCCTAGGCAAAAAGGATTATCTTTGTTTTCTTAGCATTCTATGTTTCCAATTTAAATCAACAGTTTAACATTAGGTATGTCAAAAGTGTATTATATTCAGTATATCAATATTGCATGATCATACGCAACTTCATAGTTTTATTTAGTAACTATCTGAATTATAATAATGATAATTATAAAATTGTCCTTTTATATAAATGCATATATAGTTCAATGTTTATCATTAGATTTTTATTTGAATTATTTAAATATGCTACACATAAAACTAACTCAAATAGCTGAGGTACACAGTATATCGAATTTTTTAAATTATATTTATACTATAAGTGCTAGTAAAATGTAAGTATAAATTATCATTAAGAAATGACACAGACATGTGTGTGTGATTATGGCAAAGCCTCGAGGGCTATCTGCCTAAGGGGAGGGATGCCTTCATGGAGGACTTTCTAAGGGAAACTGGCTCATATACACGTTACACATAAAACCACGAAAACACCCATGCAGCCAGCCCGTTCGCGGGATTCGAACCTCCATTAAGAAATGCATATGGCTTTAAATAATTTATTTTTTTCCTTTCGTGATAAACAAACTGCTGTAATAATTTCGAATGTACCCATACCATTACACCTGCATTATTGACATGATCACATTCTATAATCTATGAAGGGAGATTTTGTATTCCTGACTCTCTTCACATGTAAATACATTTAGAATTAAATGTTTAACTATACCTTGTCTCATCAGTAAAGAGAACACAAATCATTGGTGCTCCATCCAGTTCTTGCATCCAGTGATCTTTCTTGAGTCCGGTGATCTATCTTTTGTTGCTCAGGCAGTGAAACACATAGCCTTGGCTTTTTGTCATGAAAGCTTTTTATAATTTTATTTTTATGTGTCATTAGACATTTTATTATTTTATTTTTATATGTATTTTAATTAATTTTTAGATGTAAATTGAAATTATAGAATTTGTATTTCAGTTTGTAGCAGCAAATCTTAACTGATGTACTTAAATTCCAATGTGTCATATAGTTGATTGGTTGGAAAAGAATGCTGCTGATGATTTTCACTTCATGTTCTCTGATAAATTTGAATATTTCACAGATAACTGTTATACAGTTTGCCATGATACAACATTTACAGTGGTAATTGCAAGCTCTGAACTTAACTGCCGAGCAGTAGATTTCCTGTTACAAAGGGCAACTAAGCCTCTCAACTTCAGAAGGGCAACTCAATCTTCAGAAGTAGTTGTTATTCATGTACGTTCTTGTCCAGATTCCTTACAACAGTTTCAGAGTTCTGAACTTTTTTCTATAGCCCAGAGATTGTCTCTTTTGAAATATTCACATATCTGATTGCTTCCATGATTATCTGCCCTTTTTCTAAATGGCTACCGATTTGTTGCTTCATATTTTCCCATATGACACTTTGGAACCATAACAAACCATTTTGAGCCCTTACGTATTGGAATCAAATACTGCATAAATTCGCTCAAATATTCACGTTGCACAAAGCATTTAGTCCATCGTCAGATGACACAGTGCTGTGATTTGTATATCAGAAACCATTTAATCACTTTTGATTGAGTAATACTAATTAAGTATACTGTTTTTACTTTACCTACAAAATGGATTACATCGATTGAATATGTAATGTAATTTCTTTATTGGATATATAAGTTAAGGTCCTGAATGTAGTTAGAAGTACAATGTGTAGATCACTAGAAATTTAAAATTTAATGTTGGAAAGCTACAACCCCTATATTTAATTTTCGATATATTTATATGGTACTCTTCTGTTATCAGGGGGACCGGATTCAGAAATGTATGTATTAGATGGATGGATTCATTCATATATGTATATGTATGTTTACACACACACATATATAGGCACATACATACATACATACATACATACATACATACACACACACACACACATGGGCATACATACATATAATTCTGAATCGGGCCTGATAACAGAAGAGTACAGTTTATATTTTTTATCAAGTTAATAATTTGAAACTTTTTTGCAAATGTATGCATTTTTTCAGGGAACATTCACTGAATGAACTGACGTCAAATATTAACCTATCAAAAAACAAAGAAAACTTAATGTTTGAAATGGATCCAGATGCTCCTTTCAGGCAAGAGAGCTATCCTGTACATGAAGCAGATAAAGTATGTATTCTTGTAATGAAAGAATGAAAAGCAAACTTTGCAGTCTGCTGTGATCAGAAAGTATTGGGAATGATTCTATAAAACGAAAACAAAATTGAATCTATTAATTAATGTTAATTACATCCACATTAAAATAATCCTCTTCAGTTGCAATGCAGTTACGCCAGTATTTATTTCAATCCTCTAAACATATGTTAATAATGTTTCTATATAACATTTTACATTCAGTTTTCTTTTATTACACCAAAAGACTCGCAGTGGTTACGAAAAATCACAGTATTCAGCAATTAAAATCACAGTTTGGCAGTTAAAATCACAGCAGCAATTTTAACTGCTGAAGTAAGAGAAACTAACATGTTGTTATATCAGATAAATTTCTTTGGAAGTGTTATTTGTTGAATTTTTAGCTAAAACATCATAAGTTCCAGCAGTGTTATAATCAGATGATATATCATGGTGCAATATCTTTATGTTATCTCATCATAGTTTAGGTGAACTTCTACAAATTGCTGAATGCAAACACTGTAAAACACACAAATAATATTGTTTGCCAATAATTTGACCAGGTGGAAGAAATTCATAACACACAGAAGCATAACAGTTAAAGAAAAGTATCAGTGTGTCGTGGACTTTGGAAAGACTTTTAAGTGTACTGTATGTTTCAGCTTTCGAGCACTATTCATTTAACTGCTGAACAGTTTCTGTATTTACAAGTAAAGATCCATGTTTGTTGACTCACCTTGAGAAAGCATTTCCTGGGCTACTTGAATATATTTTTCTGGGGAGGAGGAAGGAGAGAATTTAATGTTTTTGAAACAATTTGAGAAATGTTATCCTACAAGCCCAAATAATCTTTGAAAATTTCTTGACTAGATTTAAATGATGGAGGAATTCATTCAATGCTATTCTTAACAGTTAAAATGAGTATTGCTAAGCACCAGATCTCTGATTTAGCATTGCATTGCTCAGTTGAAGTGATGTTCTACCATATTGTGATTGACCATCACTTCAACTAGTAATCATTATTGATGCTTTCTCTGCTTTATTCAAATATTTATATCACTCAATTTTGTTTCTGATAGAGTGTTGTCTTGAGGTTTTATGCAGTTTATACAACATTTTAAATGTATGTGAAATTTTATTGCAAAAACAAAATTTAATATGTGTATTTGCTCTGTTATATTTGTCATAAAAAATTAAAAAGAACATTTTAAAAGGGGGGGCAAATAATGAACACTTGAAATATGGATTGTTGCAAAATGTCTTTGACAGTAGTAACTTATGACTATACTTGTATTCTATTCTTTTGTTATATTCTTTGAAAAAAATTAATGAAACAGATCATTCATTTGTTTGAAAAAAAATATGGTAGAGTATCATTTATGTATTGTCTAAAGTTTCATAATAAATAATACAATGGATAAAATTTTTCTCTCCATTCCCTTCTTTCAAAGTATTTCAACACTTTTTGTTTTCATAGTACTTTTTAATAGTTTGTAAAATTCAAAATTAAAATGTTTTAATATACTAAACAGGAGCATTTAAATTTAAGATTTATCATTTGTGTGTATAAGTGTACATTATTTGTAAATTTATTAATATGCATTACTTATATATTTTTTGATTTTGTGAAGTATTTAATTAGTATAAATAAAGAAATATTTTTATTAGTATATACATGATATATACATGAAGCTTACATTTACATTTTGAACTTGTGGATGTGGATCCATGTGGTTTTGAACTTGCATTATAATGATTATTTTCTGTGAGGCTTTTGCTACAATTTGAGTCTGTCAATCTGAAATTAGAAAAATCTCCTCTAAAACTGGGGACCTTCTTGAGAATATCTGGCATAACATGTAATTGAAAATTATGCTACTAAAATTATTTCTATAATTACATTTACAGTGATAGCATCTTTATCAACATTTTCAGAGTTATAGGGTTTGATGTCAAATTACAGAGTTTCATTTTTATTTTTGTCATATAGGTTTTATTTTAAATTGTTTTAAGTTTGTAATTTGAAAATATTCAAATACCTTATCCTCTTTCCTGCTTTTCTGAGATAGGCTAACCTTATTACCAAACCAATTTATTTTTCATGCAGCTAGCCATTTTCATACAGCTAACATGTCTCGAAGTACTTAATGTCCCACTGTACAGTGCATATCAATTTTACATTTTCACTCATGTGGTAAGATTGTTGAAAATTTCAGTTTAAAATGTAAAATTGGTTACAATGTACAAATAACTCTCTCTAATAAGACTATTTATTTCACGTGAATTTGGTCTTCTATGGAGGTGATCATCTTAGAGAAGTGATGCCCTATATTGAAAGTTATTTCTGCTGTAAAGTTTTTTTTTGGGGGGGGGAGGGAGTTGGTTGTCATAAGATGTCTTGCTGTCATTAATCAATTCCAGATCCTTGGATGTATACAAAATAAACTTTTCCAATAAGAAATAAAGAGAAAATAATCTATTCTTATAAAAAATCCCACTGTTATTATTATAACACTATTTAATGTTAAAAAGCAGTTAGAAAAATATGTACTGCATATAAATGAAGCATTGCACACGATACTGTACATAAATGCTTTTCTGTTATGCAGAGCAAAAGCATTTTTTAACATGCTCAGACATCTCTGATCTTTTCTATTCTACTTCCTTCACAATGTTAGCTTCTTTAATAGCATCTTTGGTTTTTTTCAGTGTTAAGATACCATTGTACTTTGCACACAATATGCATTTACTAAATCGCAGATTTGCATATCGTCTTCATATTTTTCAACAATCTTTTTATTCACCTTTGTGGTGATCCTAACAGTTTTCATCATTACTTGACTCTTCTCATTAACTTTTCTAAAGCTCATTCTTAATGAATTTACAAAACGATTAAGTGAATATACACAAAATCATTTGTAAATTCAGAGTTACAGCTTAGGTTGTTATTTTGCAACAAGTATACTGACTCTCATTGGCAATTATAGCGTAGTCTTGAAAGAGGTAAATAAGTGTAGTGTACGTAGTCATGTCTTATCAAACTGAGTCGTATTCCAAACAAATGTTTTATGCCAAACAAAAATTTTGGCATACAAACATGACATATGCCAAGATGGACATATTTCAAAGCAGATGTATGCCAAGTTGCTGCTATATATTGTTATCAATTCAATGGAAAATATTATTTAGATAGATACATATAAATTTCAGTGTCAGAGTTGCCAACTCTCCCGATTTAGGCGAGAGACTCCCGATTTTCGTCCGCTCTGCTGCCAACCCGATTTACAATATATTTCTCCTGATTTTTTCTTATTCTTAAAATTTCTCATGATTTTTATGCAACTTGGCTTAATACTTCGTTATATGAACCAAAAAAAAAAAGTGATTTTGTACATCTGAAAGCAATTGAATTTTCTCTAGATTATATCTAAAACAAAACCTTGCGAATCAGATGCGAATTTCTGCTTTGTGAGTGAGAGCATACATATCCAGAAACGTTGTTCTCCAGTTCTCCAATGGGCATCGAGCTCCACTGCGTGTCATCTGCCATATATTAGCCAATGAGCACAAAGCAAGCTCAAGGCTGTTATTTGGATGTTCTCTAGTTATTTCGTTCATCTTGTCCTGAGTTGTGTGAGTACACGTGCTTTCAGGAAATAGTTTTAGAAATTATCATCTTTTGTTATGTCTGCTAGAAAGGTGAAATATACTCGTGTACATTTCCAAAATCGTACACAGTTGACTTTCCTTCCATTATTTCCTCAAGGAAATGTAATAAATTTGCGATGTGTACCGTCTGTCATTGCAAATTTTCGATTTCACATGGTGAAAGGGCAGATGTTCTCAAACATGTGCGTACACAAGGACAACATGAGTTATTTTGAAAAAAAAAAAAAAAAAAAAAAAAAATTTAATTTCTCTCCTAAAACAAAGGACCAAAAAGTTATTAATACATAATGTCTGTTCTCTGCCTTTTTACTGGAGCACAACCTGCCACTGAATGCAATGCAACACGCTGCAGCTTTATTTCGAAAAAATTTTCATGATAGTGGAATCACTAAGAAATACTCAACTGCAAGGACCAAAAGAGGTGCAATTGTTAAAGAAATGGGTTTGAAAAATAAATCCTCAGTTATTGATTGCATTAAAACAGCTCCATTCTGGATGGAAGCAATAATATCAATTCAAAACTGTATCCAATTGTTGTTTCGTTTTTTTAATCCAGAGTCTTCAGAAATTGAGTGCAGTTTACTTTCTGTCCCCACTTTAGAAGGACATTCGACAGGCTTTAATATAGCACAGTTAATTAAAACTTTTAAAGAAAATGCAGGCCCTCTGGATAATTGCTTAGCACTTGGTGCCTATAATGCAGGCTTGAAGACTGGTGTTGCAGGCATCTTAAGAAAGGAAAATCCAGATTTGCAGATTATGAGGTGCACCTGTCGCCTCTTAAATTTAGCAGCTGAAAATGGGGCAGCTTCTTTACCAATAAATGTGGATGAACACATTGTTGATATTTATTATTATCTTGAAAGGAGTTCTGAAAGGAAGGAAAAATTGAAACAGTTCCAACAGCTGCATAATACTGAAATGAGAAAAATTTTGAAACGTGTGTACACGCTGGCTGTCTTTAAAGAAATACTTATCTAGAATCCTCGATCAATGGAACCCACTTCTTGCATTTTTTAAAGAAGTAAATGCTTCGAGAGTTTTAAGATAAAAGACTCTATTGAGAGTTATAAAATACCTAAAGTAAATGGAGATGTAGTTACTACTTCCATTGTTAAAAATAGGTTTGAGAAATGTAAAGTAATTTCTGCACCATTCAGCAATTTAACTGGCAGTTCTCAAAATAATGCAGGAAAATATAAGCTTAAAGCTGATACAAATTTCTCTCAAAATAAAAAAAATTTTCAACACACGAAACATTTTCCAATTACTGTAAGTTTATCTTGTGAAGAACGAATATTTATGTTTTTTCCTTCAGACCTTAACAAAGCTTTTTTTTACAATTCATTTTGCCATTATTCGATTTTCTAAACACAGTTTTACAAAGCAGAATTCCATTAATTCATGTTTTGTAATCAATGATTTATGATCTGTTTAAAGACATACGTTTGTAAAACCAGTCTGTGTTTTGTCTGTAATTCTATATATGATGTGATTTATGATGAAATGGAAAATTAGAAGAAAGATGAAGATTTGGTAATAGGAGTTGCAACTACAAAAGTAGTAGAAGAACTTTCAGAAGACAAAAATAAGTTTTATCTTCATGTTAGAAGTTACTTCTGTCGAGTATGTGATTACATACTACATAAATTCCCAGGCAATGATGAAGTGATTTTGCATGCTAAAGTTGCTGATGTTTCTGCTTTAGCAAATGCATCTTTTTCTGGTATAAGGTACTTTTTGAACAGATTTCCTGTGTTACTTCATTTTGTCATGAAAGATGATGATATTGATGTTGCCACTGATAAATATTGCAGTCGCAATTTTGCAGTTTACTTTTAGAAAACTGGATGAAGTTATAAATCAGCTAGGATTGACACCCAGTGGAGTTAAGTTGGAAAACTGAAAGGTGCTGATGGAATTTTAAAATATAGTGAACTGTCTAGAATTATGTTGGCCATCTTGACAGTTCCCCATAGTAATGCAGAAGTGTGAGAGGATTTTCAGTGTTGTTGCTATTGTGAAAACGAGGACTAAATTTAGATCCTAATATTATGATGACACATCACACATAGAAAAACTTTTATTTAGCGAAAGCAGGCCTACGTGGCAATTTCTATGAACAAAATTATGAAATTTCTTTCTTAATGAAAGCAAAATCTGCCAGTGTTTATAACATTTGTACGAAAACTGATTAAATTTTTTTTTTCCTTAACGATGCAAGTAATAAAAATGTTTTTTTATGTGCAAGGTATTTTTGTGTTGCTTGCATTTAAGAATTAGTAACTATTTAAAGTTAATTCATTATTAAAAACTATATTTTTATCATTTAAAAAGCTTTCTAACATTGTGAAAAATCTCCCAATTTGTTAAAAAAATCTCCTGATTTTTGAGTGTCATAGGTTGGCAAGTATGCAGTGTTAATAATTTGAACAAGAAATGCTTAAAGATTAAAAAATGTGTACAGTTCAACCTTAATTTTTAAATGAAAAAGCTCAAGGTTTAAGGCAAATGAAAGGAGAAACAGTGCTCTTACTTAGAGGAATCATGAAGTTCTCCATGATAGCATCGCTCTCCTTAGGCATATAGCCCCTGTGTGCTTTGTCATAATCAAATAAACCATATTAACCAACTTACTTCCAGGAGAATGTTCAAAATGCTCATAATATTCAGAATACTTTATGACTGGAGAGACCATGTTTGTGTTTCAAAACATATTGGGCATTGGATCTTTTTATTTGAAACCTCAAAGAGGCTAATTGCTGCCTTGATTATAATAAAAAAATCAAAATTTTGAACATATTAACTAAATTTCGAGACAGACATTGTCCCCTCAATCTTGAAATTCAGTTAATGTTCTGAAATTACAGTAACTTATGATAAACGTGCCAACCAAATTTTTATATATAACAGGAAAAACTAGGGTTTTTAAAGGGAATGAATACTTAATTATTTTTAGTGGAAATTTTTGAAAAGATTTTTCTGAATAATACATGGATTTTTAGGATGTCATTTATGTTCTTTGATTCGGAATTTATTTATGATTTAAGTTTCCTTGTTTTGTTTATTGGTAAAAAAGTGCTGATATGCTTTTCAAAGTTTTTCATTAGATATAAATACCAATATGTTTTTCAAAATAACTGTTTGTATTTTAATGTAAATAAATTTGTTATTGATGCAAATAAAAATGTACTTTTAACTTACTTAGCTTTTAATTTACTTATTAAGGAAAATGAAGCACGCTTGTTTAAGTTCATGTTCATCTGCATTCGTTCTGGAAAGCTTGATGATGTAAGTTTTCTTTTATAAATATTGTATGCTTTTTAATTTGTAGTGATTTAGTGTATGCTTCAATTTTGGTCATCAGTTAGTTGTCTATATACTTATTTTTAGGATTAAAAGAAAATTAATAATAAAATAAAATTTTGCAACAAAGGTTCATAGTATGTGATTAGAAACAATTTTTATATTAACAGTGTAAATTTTAGTAATGCTATTAATAGATATGCATGTTTTTTTAGATAATTAAATTTCTTACTGGATCTTTGGCACACCTTTTGAATTACAATGGTTAATGTAATTCAAAAGGTGTGCCAAAGATCTTATATTATATAAATCGCAGAAATTAGAATTTACATTCTGACAGTTCTATAGTTATGATTAGAAGAAATCAAATTGGCAGTCTGCCACTTCACTTTTTTCAGATCATGCAAATGATTAATGTAGTATAATAAAGATCTCAATTTGTTACTGTAATGGCACAAAAAATTGAAATGCTGGACTGTAGATGTTCCCCACATCAAAACTGTGATTGGTTTTGAATTTTTTCAATTTCTTCTCGGTGTGAGGAGGACACTTTTCATGGTTGTTTAAAAGTATAAAAATCTGAACGAAAATTTATAAAGAATCTGTGTTTATCAAAATTTATTTATGATATTATTATTATTCATTATATATTAAATGTTTTTTTTTTTTTTATTATTATTTGCATACTACTCTTTAATTTTTAACAGGTTTGGCCATGCAGTACTGAATTTCCTAAAAGGATATAAGAACATAATTTTTTTGGGGGGGGAGAAGGGAGTTAGAATTCCAATATGTTGCATTGGTGATTTATATGTTTTAAGATGCATGTATATGCACTTAAAAGTATTAGGACAAATGTTATTGAATGTGTGTACATGGCTGAATAGTTCAAAGTTCTATCACATATGTATTGTAACTATTATAACTTAGAATATTCACAATATATATCTTGAGATAATTTTAAGAGATACATAGCTTTTATCTAGATTAGAAAAGCCAAATAAATAAATAAATTTCTCCTGCACATGAGCATTTTTATCTCCATCGCGCGAGACCGTGTATCGGAAGTTCTAAAGATATGCTCTTTTTAAATTAGTTTGTGATATTGCTGTTGAATTGACTTTTATGGTTTAAATGCGAAGAACATGATACTTACTAAATTAAGGCAAGACAAAAAATCTTTAAAAAGAGCTCCTTTGGGTGTAATATAAAATCTGAAAATTTTGAGATTTCCTTCCCCAAACAAATGAAGCTTAAAAATCTTCTAGAAAATTCAGAAAATGAGGATTTTTTTAAAGCGTTTGTCAAGTTATACTAATATCTAATATGCTTGATTAGAATGAAAATAGTAAAGTTTTTTATATATATATAAACACACACAAACACAGAGGTGGCTGCCAAAAAAAATTTTACAAGCAGTAGCATTTGAAAACTGCTTATTATGGAGGGAATGTTTTTTCCCCAGAATGGAGACAGATGGTTTTAGTTGTCTTAAGGAGATGAACAGACAGGTAGTGTAATTTTGCAGATGCATCAGACCCATTAAAACTGCAAGATGTGTAAAAATTTGTCATGCTTCGAGGTGCAAGCCGCAGTTCATTTCTTATGGGCAAAGAATGTGTCTGCATTCTGAAATTCACAGTCAATCATGGAATTTTATGTTGAAGAAGGGATGAGCGGGCAATATGTAGTGAAATACTGTCTTGTTTTTAACTGGCAGAAGGGTTGTCAAAAACTGCAGTGGAAATCAACCCAGCATGAGTTGAAGAAATTATTCAAAATAATCGACAAGTAGCTGTGCATGCAGTCACATCAGAACTGACCCTGATACCATGGTATCATGCAGTATATCATTCCTGATTTGTTGCAATATTCCAAAATTTGTGCCCAATAGGTACCACATGCAGTAGAGAATTCTAAGAGCACAGAGCTACACGAATGATGTGCTGTCTCGCATTTCCTCGGCATTACTATTGTAAAATTCAGTTGTGGCTGGTGTCATGTGGTGTGCATAGTTAATGGCATGAGGTTGACTTTCTTATTTATTTAAATTACACAACATTGATTTATATACACTTTATACAAATAAAAATATATATTAATTAGGACAGAATTGCTGATTATAAAATCCCTACACTGAAACGTTCGGCCTCTTCATTCACCTAAACTACACTCTTTTCATTCACCTAAACTGCCTTTTTTTAAAGTTTCAGAGGACCAGACATTACAACCATTCTGGCAGGCAGTATTTTATTGATCATATCGTTACTGGGGGTGAAAACTTAGCATCATCATTTGATCCCCCACTACCAAAAGAGCTACTATGAAGTGGAAACACGCTAGATCACCAATGAAAAAGTTTAAAGTTACACCATCTGCCAATAAAGTTATGGGAACCATATTCTGGGATTCATGTGGTGTTATCCTGATCAAGAATCTGAAGCATGACCATACCATTACTGCCAGTAATTACAGTGCCACTTAGGTTACGTGAAGCGATCTGTTGGAAACATTGTGGCATGTTGAGTAGTGGAGTCATCCTCCACATGATAATGCCAGGTCCCATACTGCTTGCCAAACTCAAGAATTGCTGCAAACGTTCAAGTGGAAAGTATGGAGCCTGCCTGCATGCATCTCAAATTTCATATTAAATTCCAAAATTGAAGGCAGATTAATCTGAACGAGGTCCTTCTCAGATAGTGATGTGAAAACAATTGTTAAGAATTAGGCTCAGTGGGCAGGGATGTGATTTCTACTAATCAGGTTTAATAAAGTCTTCTGTATTCAGATGCATGCCTAAATAGATTTGGTGAGTATGCGAAACAATATACAGTCAAAAGTCTTTAATCCGGACTCGTCGGGACTTCGGCGATTCCGGATTATCGATTTTTCCGGATTATAGATCATCAGTTTAATCTGGAAAGGCATGCAGAATTAGAAACTTAAAAATATGAAACCGAATTTATAAAATAATGAGCAATTATGATCTAAAGGTATCCAAATTTACCAAAAAAGAAGCCTATATTTATTTGTTTACTTTATTAAACATTTCTTTTAACGCGCGATGCGTAAAGCATACCTTACTCATAGCCGAAATTAGAAAATTGCAACCAGAAAACTATGTGATTTGTATCGTGATATTTATAATGAGAGAGGAATTTGATTAAATCATATCAAGACGGAGTACATTGAAATAAATACTACATTTAGTAAGGAATTATAAGCCGACTAAAATAAAAACATCTGCCCTGAAGATAACGATAGTGTTGACAGATCACTCCAGTTCATTTCCAGTTCATTGCGCGCGCGACGTGCCCTCCCCCCTGCGCAGAGCGCGTGAAATTGATAAACAGATTTCGGAACGTTTAGATAACAAGATATGCTTTTTCATGTTTGGTAGCAATTGTTTTTGTTTTGATGGACATCGAAAACTACATTTCTTTCTAGATCTTTGAAAGCTCCGCAAAAAATAATAAGCCGATCCGATTTGAAGATTAATACAACGAATTATTAACATAACTGAAATAGATAATTAGATAATTTTAGTTATACCATCCGTCATACATTAAACGCGACGCGAAACGATTCTGCACTTGCGCAGATGCATATGCGCAGTGTAAATGTCTTGCGCATACGAGTAAAACGCCTATGCGCATGCGTCAATGCGGCGCATGCGCAGAAAGATTTTAGCTTTGAGGTCCGGATTATAGATCATTCCGGATTACGGGTGTCCGAATTAACGACTTTTGACTGTATTTAACTAGTTTTTTTAGTTTGTGTAGCATGAATTTGCATAAGTTAACATGTTGACATTTTGAGGAAACCATGTTATATGTGTATAAAGTTTGGTCTAAAGAAGTATTTGTCTGAATGGTTTTAATGTTTTCATATTTAACTGCTTAGGTTGCTAAAAATGTATTTATTTTCTAGGCACAACAGTTAGCAGAAAGGTTTGGTGAGCCATGGTTAGCTGCTGCTTTAGAGGGGTGGAGGCTTTTTCATGATCCCAATTATGATAATGAAGTTATGGAAGGACAAGAATTGCAACCAGTTGAAGGTAACAAATACAGAGATCTGTGGAAAGCAGCTTGCTGGATGGCATCTCAAGCAGTAAAATATATTTTTTGTTACTTTTTTTAATTGAAATCTATCATGTATCTAAGTTTAATACTTTAGGCATAATATCATGGTCGAATATCATGGGTATCATGGTCGAATGTTGAAAGTAACAAGAATTTGTGCATTTTTGTTCTGTAAACTGTAGATTTCCCCAACCAAGATATGTATTTGTAAAAGCAGTTTTCTATAATGTTACATCGTTCTCTTTAATTCTGCTGTAACAAAAGTGAAGAGTTAGATTTAAAGCTGTTAGTATATGCAAAAGTAAAAAAATATAGTATTAAATTCTGTTTGAGAGAATGAAATTTTCTTTCTCTTTTTTAATTACTCTAAATGCAAAAGACTAAAATTTGGTGAAACTCAGTTTGATATTAAGGTAGAGTCAGTTTTAAGGTTGAATCTTTTATAATTTTAGCTTCCAAAATGGCAAGAATTTCTTTTGTCTAATAGTTAAATAATTGCCAATTTAGATATTAATTTTTTTTTAAATTTTATATAATTTTATCCAAGCATCTAAAGAAGCAGTTCAAGATACCAGCACATAATGTTAAAATCTCATTCCTAGGTACATTCAGAAATAGTCTTCCATTTGGCTATATTTTTTTCACAAAGTGTTATGTTCACCCAGATTCTTTTAAAACTCTTAAAAATCAAACTGCACTTTAAAAATATTTGCATATTTTCATATTTTAAAGCAATTAAGATGATTGTAAATCCTGCCAAATGCAAAATATCTGTTCACTCTTTTAATGCAGAAAATACGTTTTTGACCAACATTCAACACCAAATTTAACAACTTTATTGGCCATACTCAATATTTGATTTATTAATGAAGAGATGAGATAAAATTTAGCAAAAGTGATGGTAAATGCTCAAATGAAATCAAAAATTTTTAATTAATTACCAAAAATCAACTGAACTTTCAAGTTATGTTATTTCTGGGTTCTAAAACTTTTATGTACAGAATACATGAAAAAACTTTCAGCTTTCTTACTTTGAAGTAACAAATTCTTTAATTGTTATGGAGATAAAATATGGATATCCTATGCAACTCCTGCATTGAAATATCAATCTAGATGAATCTAGAATGGATGATTTTCCCCAAACAGAAGAATTTGGTTTCAACCAAGACAATTGAATGTTTTTAACTGATGTTAAATATTGAATGTGAATTTTTGCATCAGGTCAAATAAATGTGTGCCGAAGATTATTGTGATTTCTGAGATTTAAAAAAAAAAAAAGTGGTGTGTATTTTAAAAAAAGTGTGGAATCTTGGTACAAGGTGTGTTATTGTTTTATGATAATTATAATGCTTAGCCACATTGCTTAAATTTAGCTCATGTAGCTTTTTGTTAAGTTATTTATCTGGAAGCAAAGGAGTCATCACCAGTCAAGGCTTTACTAAGCCTTGTTATATCCAGTCAAGGCTTTGACTGGACATCAACCTTTTATCTTTAGCCTAGCTTCTTACCATTTGTAAGATACTTTTGATCTGACCAAAATTGATGGCAGAGGTTAGGTTATTTAAATATGGCAAAGCACATGAGGGCTGTCTACTCATAAGGGTTGCATGAGGGCACGTGAGGAATGTCTTTGGGGAGAATTTTTTAAGAGAAAATGTCTGGATTTTGAACTTGGTTCATACTATCAGTATTCGATGGTCTCTCTTGGACACTACTAGGGCCTGTTGATGACAGAGAAGCTAGTAAAATGTTAGCTAAATGGATTGGCAGCAAATTTCTATGAGAGTGATATATGAAAGTTGGTATAGAAAAATATTTTATAGTGTGTCGAACATCATGGTAGTATATATATTTAAAAATCCTTTTTTTGTAGCTTAAGAAAACATAATTTCTAATTATGCTGCCAAATGTATATTTGAAGAATTATATTAATTTTTATTAAAATGTTGAAAATTGGAACTGGCATTTGTGAATGATATTTTAATTAAGAGTCCGGTATGTTCCTTTTAGTGCAATTTTTTTCCCTGCTATTTTTTGTTGTTTCTATCTGTGACCTAGCTTTGCCTAATACTCCTTTTTGATTATTTTTTATTCTGTCTGTTTCCGTTTAATTATGCATCTCTGAAAATGGAAGATATAACAATTGACTCATTTGATATCCAAAGGTGTAAATCAGTTTTTTGAAATTATGGAAGTTTTGGTTTGGTTCTTTATTGCCAACTCTTAGCCTCGTAAACTTTGAGTTGCTCTCTGTGGTTTGGTTTTTAACCCCTGCTCCCTCTAGTTTCAAAAAGTCTTAAACTCATTTATGGTGTTAATATAACGTGTCAGAATTTGTTAAAGAATACTTGGCATTGTATCTGTATATGTTAAATTTTTCAATACTAAACTGGAAAAGTTGTATGAAGAATCACATGCTTGACCAATATTATTGTTGTATGCAAGGCAACCTTAAGGTACCAACAGATGTTTGTGGCATGCACAAAAACATGGTTAAGTAGTTTGACAAGACTGTGTCTTGCAGTTGTGCACCAAGCAAGAACGATGTTCTAATGAATTTTTTGTCAGGTGCAGGATTGAAACTTCTACAGGTTTAGTGTCAGATTAGAATAAATTGTCATCAATATTAAACATTAATGTTGTATCATCTCATTACATTATACATGGCGAACTGAAGTTTCTTAAAGATGATATTCAAGGGCTTTATACATGAAATAAAGGAAAGAGATGGTGATGCTTGTTTTTAAGAGCTTTTTCATTGGTATGAGGCTGATAGTAAAGCATTTCTGTATTGTATCTGACTAGTGGATACATGCATAAGTAGAATAAAATTTGAGGTTGCTGGAGAGGTTTAATCAACAGTGCATAATTATTGTATACCTATCAAAAATATTTCATTTCCTTTGTTATCACTGTGTTTGCCAGTCAGTGATATAAATGCATTGAATTATGCAAGGACTGCACTGAATGAGGGTTTTATAATTATTTAATTTTTTTTGGCCATAAAAATTCTCTAAATATAAAATTCCAGTTTTTCGTTAATGTTATTATCTTTTATGGTAAAAAATGGTAATATTTAAAATACATTTGAAACAACTTGTAACAACAACATGTTAAATATTAGTTATCTTTAAAGCCATTCACTTTTATCATTTTAGATTAGTTTTATTTCTTACTCTCAGAATAGAGTGAATTTTCTGTTGAAATTTCATTATATGTTGCAAAGTAAATTATTGATTAAAGAACACGTTCCATAATTATCAAAATTGCATGATAATTTTTAATGAAAAATATTTTTTTTTTGTTTAGATTATTTTATTTTATATTATCATATTATATTGTTTAAAACAGTTGCCATCTTATGTTGTGAACAATATAATGCATTTAAAATTATAATTTCCTCCCTCATTTTCACATTTCTTTTTTTTTTTTTTTTTTTTTTTTTTTTATTGTGTTCATCAAATTATCTAATACCTGAGATTGACTGTAAACTAACTGGTAAAAGCATGGCAGATATTGTATGGATTAATAATTAGTGTAAAAGCAAGCAGACTGTAAGAAATCTGAAAATGTTTACTTATGAGAAATTATATAATTTGTAACTGTACATTAAAACATGGGATTTACCAAATTTTTTAAAAAATTAATTTTAAAATTCCAGCCTGTTGTACCTGTTTATGAGCAGGCTGTGTATGGTTCAGTATGTGGAAATCTGAAAGCTCTCATACCTGTTTGCCATACCTGGGAAGACTTTTTATGGACGTATATGAGAACATCTTTAGATAAGCGTATTGAGGATGAATTACAGAGTTCTGCATATCAGCAAAGAGCTTTGGAGGAAATGCCTGCTGAATATTGGGATAAAACGTATGTTGAAATTTTCTAGTAAAAATGTTTTATTAATTTTACTAGAAAATTACTGTACTTTTCTTGGAGTCTTTAACTTAAAATAGTTTTCAGATGTATATTTTGTTTTGATAAATGAATGACATGGCATAATTTTGGGTACATAGTTTTAGTTTTAAAACAATGTAAATGTTAAGGAATACATTTGTTTTTAATAGAAATATTTTTGTCAGTATATTGCAGATTGTTAGTGAGTTCTAAAAAATACTAGAAATGTATGAACAGTTCTTCATTGTGTTGTAAATTATTAAATTTTACTTTTAGACTGTATTTGAAAGTTATCAACTGTCTTCCCCCCTCTTTATTTTAAAAATAACAATATTTTCTCTTATAGGTTAGATTTTGCAGAAATATTTCAAGAATTGGAAACAAATGATTCAAGAGTATGTTGCTAGTCCATTTTCTTTCATAGTGTGCTTATGTAAACTAATGAACTTTGAATTAGTTTTTGCAAGAACATTTTTTATAGCAAACTGTATTTTTTAGGTGAAGCTGAATTGCAACAGTTCTCATCATGTAATACAGAAATATATAATTTTAAATGATCTAGATGGTAAGTTAATTAATCGTCATTCTTGTATATATATATATATGTGTGTGTGTGTATATATATATATGTATGTGTGTGTATGTGTGATGTTGTGGTTATTGCAGAAGATGAAAACTAAGTTCCTCTTTAGTCATAGTTGAGAAGATTGTTGCGTAGATGATGACTGTTATGAAGATCACAACTGGCTTGATGATTAAAACATCATTTTTATTTTTGCACAGAAAAAATAATTCAGAAATATATTTCCACTTAAAATTTGTACAATTCGCCCTACAATTTTGATGTATGCAATTTACACAAACGATGAAGAAAGAAGGTGAAACAAGAGACATGATTTATTTAAGCAGCAACAGACAGGAAAAAGCAATGCACACTAACTTCAGTTGTATTCATAACTTGAAATTTATCGTGTTAATCTTGAGCAGTGATTCGGCTAAAGATATTGCAGTGCAAAGCAATTGCAGAGAAAGAGTGATGTAAAATATGGCAGAATGGTGCAAAGTGAATCTTTGAAGTGGAGATGTATTAAATTAAAAAATTTATGAATTTAAATGTCTATTGCCAGTTGATTGCAATTAAGTTTAGTAATTGTATTTTATATTTTGTATTTTACACACACATATATATGTATATATTATATACGTATATGTCTACATAGATTTCCGTCCTTACAGACTGCAACAAATTTTCTAACCTCTATGCTTTACCAAAATTCCACACATCTCTGATTAAATTTAAATTTATTGCAAATGGTAAACTAAAAACTACAAAAATGCAACTGACTACATTTTTACTTTCAGGCTTAAAAAAATTCAGGTAATATTTTTGAATCTGTTAATAAAGAACACCATTACAATTGGGTTATTAATAACAATGTTCCTATTCTTTCTTGAACTTAAAAATGCAAAGTAAAAGCGATCAATTGTAACAATTTTGAAAATTTATACACCTCTCTTCCATTAACAGAAATTTATAATAGTCTTTTAACTCTGCTTTTTCCTGAAGTGCTTACTGTTATTATAGAAGGAGATTGGAAATTTTCATTAATTTTCACTGCTTCATAACTTCATACAGTTTAGAGAATCTATATTTCAACAAATAAATGATATTCCAATGGGTTCTTCTTTTTCAACACAGATTTTCAACTTACACCTCTTCTCTAAAGAATTTTACTTTGAAAACTCAATAATGTTGATAAAAGTTACTTTACTAATATTTTCAGGTATGCTGATGATGATATTGGTATTTGAAAAATAGAAACACACAATATTTATCTTTTGTGCTTGATTCTTAATAAAACTAATACCACACCAATAGAAATCAGCTCTTTAGATTTACATCAATTCTAATTCAATAAAATTAATTAACCGTGATTCTAACATTTCAGAGAAAAATTTAAAAAAAAACACTATTCACAGCCTACTTCTTACGATCAAAAATATTTCTACAGAAGTTATTATGTTTAAGAAGCAATTCTACTTTTAGTTAATACCTTAACCCTTTGCGGCACGCGTATTTAAAATATATTTTAATCTTTAAAAAAATGCCTTAGAATAAGTCAGACGGACTTACTTAAGTGCCTTTAAGGCTTGAAAAAAATTCTGCACTTTTATTTTTGCGGTGGAAGGTGGGGGGAACCTTTGTCCCACCATGCAACTAGCACATGTCTTATAGCATATTGGTGTATAGCAGGAAAAAAAAAAAATCATATGTGGAATGAATAAACAAAATAAAGCGTGCATTCTAAAATTTTATAATAAACACACTAAAATGCATTTTGTACTTATTGCATATATGCATGACTTGTAAAATTTTGCATATGCACATAGTTGCATTTAATATTTTTAAATTTTAGGAACAAAAGAAAATATTTTCTTGATATTATTTTAAGATTAAAATTTGATACTCGTACATATGATACTAAATAAAATATTAAAATTGGCACTTGATTCAAAAACATTTATATATGATTAAAATTGAAAAAAAGTCATTTTTCATGAAACTTTGAAAAACATGTTGTTTCATTCTTTTGTAAGCATAGAGGCACTTCACATGTTTCACACATCCAAAATGTTCATTGTTCTTCTTTCGATATGCTGCAATATGCACATCTTCTCCTGCTCGTTCTCTTTGGCGTTTTACTTACATTTTTTAGTCTCTTTTCTGGTTGTACGAACGGGTTTTTATTATTTGAACTGGGGATTTCAGTTTTCTTTTCAGCTCTTTCTTGCCTGCAAGTGCCATTAGACCTTCTATAACTGAGAGAAGAAAATCTTTCATTGTTTTTACATCATGATCAGGTTCGTGAACAAACTTGAATAAACGTGTTTACTATACTCGCATCTAAAAAGTAAAAAAAAAATCATGTGCCACCATTTTTGCTTTTGCGGTCTATTTCATATAGTCCTTTCAGTTGATCAATCAGTCGACATATCCCATATTCTTATTGTATGAAATAATGCTGTTTGGGCACAGTACTTTTTTTTTTTTTTGTCTTTCCATCTCGTTCTTTTCTATTAATTTCTTTCATTTCAGTTGCCTTTTCCAAGCAAGACAGGATAGAAACGGATCTTTTATCCTTCCATTTTATGCAATAAATTGAATCATCGCTAACTGAAAAGTCTATATATTCTCTTGACATAAATTTGTCTTTTAAATTTTTGGGTAGATACTTCCGATCCATATTTACAGTGCCACATGCATAGATGGGTCTGTGTCTTCTTTAAAAAGCGAAACAAATTATAACTACTTCCCTTTCTTCTTCAGCAATAACTTCAACCTCAGTTATTCTCTCCTGGATTTCAATTTCATCTGAATCAGAACTGACATCTGAAGCATTTGAGTCGCAATCGGATGGCAATTCAGCAAAAAGATCCAAAGCTTCCTGAGTTGTTAATTTTTTTTCTAGACATTTTAGCACATCAGAGCATATACAACGGATGTAAAAGCGCGCGCAATCACGAAAAAAAAATAGATGCAAAAAAGAAAAGAAAAAATAATCGTGAGTGCTGCCGATCTATTGAGCGGAAATTCAAGTGTGTGGTGGGACAAATTTTTAACCCACTTATTTCAACTGCAAAATTAATGTTATAAAATATTGAATCCAATTAAGATTTTTGAAAATAAAATACCTTTGAATATTAAAAAGAATCATACATATCATAAATTGTATACCAAAATTTTTAAAATATTGAAAAATGCGAGATACATGGATATCACTCTTGTGATCCTATTTTGATATATTTTTGCTTAATAAACTTAAGCCCTGGTATAGTAGTAACATCTACTGAGAAAAATAATAACTAAAATAGATTATTTTTAAAAGATTAGAAAATTTCTAACGGAAATTGCTAACTGAGAAAATAAATATTAATTAGGTGGGACATATATTGACCCACCATGCCGCAAAGGGTTAATAGAAAATAAAATTCCAAACTATTTCATTAATCTTTCACTTAAAAACACAGGCATTGACTACCAAATTTAATCCCATATTTTATTACGATATGATTGCATTATTTCAAAATTAAGCAAGATGGTAAGTAAAATTAGAGATTTGTATATACTGTAATTAATTGTTTCTTAATATATAGTTTTTGTATAAATATTTCTGGCTGTATACTTTAAATTACATGGCATTATTTTTCCTTTTCATCAGCCACATGAAAGCCAACTTGTGTGAAGACTGTATTCTTTTATCTTATTATTTTCGAATTTTGTAACTTTTGCCAGATTTATTTTAAACTTTAATTTTAGCTTTTTTTGGAGGGGGGTTCCCCAGTTTCTCCATTCCTTATTGCAACCTTAATTTTCCACAAGCTCAAATACTCTTTTCAGGATAAATTAGCTGTTTCTTTATTTCTCAGCAACGTACTATAATAAACAACTTCGGCCTAGTTTTTATGTTATGGATTCAATGTCAAGGATACCAAACTTTTACGAAAGTTTGTTTCCTACCTTAATGAAATGATTCTTTTCATTTTTGGCAAACCAGTTGTACTTCTTACTTTCATTTTCTCGTTAAAATGAGTTAATATGTGCCATTTGCAACATCCAATGTTTTCATGAACACAGCTTTAAAAAAATTACCAAGTTATTAATCATATTTCAAATATTTTATTTTACATTTAGTTGTAATTAGACTATATTCTACGAATAATACTTTTGAACTTCTAAAAAAGCTTTACTCTCTTTCAGAGTAATTTTCATGCACTAATTTTTTTTGGCTGATCATTTGGTTTCTCATGTACTTTAGCCCGTATGGCAGGCTTTGCTTCTTTGGAATATAAGTAATTTTGTATTGAATATTTTCATATTTTGGCTTTTTGTATTTTTTATATTTATATTGCAAATTTGATGTGATTAGAATGTGGAGTTTTCATTTCAATTTTTTTGCATTTTGAATTTTCATTTTCTTCAAGATCTGAATTCAGGTTGAAGTATATTTTTGACTATTTGAGAATGGGATATTGTTTGCTGTTTAAAAAAAATTATTGTATATTAGTGTAAATTTTTCACTCAGGTGGTCAGAAAGGATGAAATGTGTATTCAGAACTCCTTAATTTTTACTGTTTAATGTTATAATTAATTTTCCCTGTCTAATCGGAACAGTAAGCAATGAATAATTAATTTACAAATTGTGTTTCAGGTTTAAAAGATCTAAAAAAAAATTTAAACGATTATTTTGAAAAAAATTTAATTTATTTGAAAGGAATAGAGCTACTCTATTTTGATTTTATTGTTAAAAATTTTTCTTTTTCAAATTTTTTTTATTTTCCAGGACAGTATAATCTTTTTCTCTTAAAAAAATTTTTATTTTAAAAAATTAATAAGTTTTCAATCTGACTTGCTTTAGTTCTAGAATTTATTATTTTTGTCTTAAATATTCTATAAATGTTATATATGAAAGACTGAAAACTGGAGATTGTCGGCATTCACATAGTTGCTTGGTGTATGTCTGAAATGTTTATTAAATATCCTTATTTCACCATGCACTGATGGTG